AATGTGTACTACCAACTTTGGTTGGGATGGCAGCTCTGGTAACTCATGGGCAAGGATAGTCTGTCCACACTGATCCATGCATTGGTTACTATGATCCAATGTATGTAGGGCTGCCCTGGTGCTTGGTTTGGAAGCTGCACCTAGTGCAGAATGTTGTGGATGGTGCATTGAGTGATACATCTAGCCATGCATATATTACAACAGTGGTTAAGGATTTGCGCCTGTTGCCTAACTGCTACCAAACCAAGTTCAAGATTTTATGATTGATATATAAAGCCCTAAACAATTCAGGAGCAGCAGACCTAGAAGACTGCTTCCCCCACTATAGGCCAATGAAACCTTTATGATCAACAGAGAAGACCATGTGGACCATAGAGCAGCCAGCAGATTGCTACCTGGAAGCCTCTCGGAAATGGATCATTTCAGTTGTATCACCAACCCTCTAAATATTCTTTCAGAAGAGATTTAGGAAGTGCCATTTGTTGGATATTTCAAATGTTTCCTAAAAGCTGAGATGTTTACCCTGGGCTATTTGGATGGCTGAGAGTGTTATCCTGTTCAGTTGCTGACTTACTGTTTAAAATTATGAATTTCTTACAATATGTTTATCACATTCTGATTATTACTTCTATTTTATAATACTTTATTTGATGTAGTTTAAGTATATATATTTTGTAAACTACTTAGGGATTTTTGTAAAAAATGCTAGGCGGGTACATAAATCTCCAAATAGATAAATGAAAACCAGAGTTGAAGCACATCTGTCTCCTGGCTTTGCTTCTCCCTGGGCTTTTGGAAGCCCCTGGTGGCTGAACTCTCCGGTTTTGTCCCTTTCTCCACGCTGGGTGATAGACTAGGTTAAAATCCTACCTCCGTGTAATTAGCACTAATTTGATACATTCTGCATAAAGCCTGTGCAGCACCTGGAGCTCTTGTATCTGATGAAGTTTCTGCAAGGAGTTGTTTTCTTTTCTTTTACATATTTATGAAATTACAAAATTATGCTGAAGAGAAGCTGTTTGTTTAGTTGATCTAAATAAAAGCAAAACACCAAGTGAGCAAACATCTGAGCGAAAGCTCTGGTGCTTCTGTTTCCTCATACAGCGGCTAGTTGGGATAGTTTTGCACAAGTATTTCTGGGAGAATCATTCCATGCATGCTTACTCATTTCTGAGGAAACAGCTCCACTGTGTCAAGTGGCACTTACTCCCAATAAGTGGCTGGGGAAACCCAGCCAGATGGGTGGGGTATAAATAATTTATTATTATTATTATTATTATTATTATTATTATTACCCAGAGGACTGAAGCCTCAATAAGGCAATCTGCATACTGGTGAAGTCAGTGGCAAAGGTACTATTAACTGTAAACATTTTGTTTTCTCCAGCTTTTCTGGCATAGTACAAACAATTCTAAAGATTTCTCTATACAAGTCAAAAGCACAAATAAGTTTAGTGGCAGCAGGTACTGTAAGTACAAGTTACGATATGGACTTGAGGCAAGTCAAATATGATGGCAAGCAAAGAAGAGGGATTCCAGAACTCATTGGCCAGCACTGAATCTTTTAATCTTTTCCACTGAGGGCCTGCCCACACAGGGGTTTACTGTGTGTTTGAGCAATCCAGATTATGTTGCCTTCAAACAAGACCAGTCTCAATGCTTTGCTCTGTAAATTTGGATTTACCTGATGAGGATTTATCGGATAAAATGGGTGAAAATAGGTTCCACTCAGGGTCTCAGGCAATTTATTTCGGTGCTTTGGGGTGGGTGGATAAAATGTCACTTTCTGCAACGGACCTTCTCACATCTACTGCTACCTCAATACATGGGCACCAGGAGTTTAGTCCTTTATATTTTTTTGATCCCTCAGATCTGCACAAAACCAGAAAATCATACAAGCAAATTTACAATTGCTCAACTCTGTGTTTTTGCACACTTTTGGTGTGTGTGAGAGAGTTAAAAGAAAACCCAAGGTTTCTCTGTGCACATACCCTGTTGGTACTTAGATGGCATAACGGAATCAAGAGATTAGAAGGCAAGGACAAACACAAAAGAGAACAAAAAAGAATTAATGAGAAAGACAAAAGTTGCTCCTCAAGTACATATTCAAATATGTGCGGGTGTGGACTATTCCAGTCTAATTCAAATGGGGGAAATGTGGATTAACAGCTAAGTAATGCTCAAACGTGGACGAGCCCTGAGATAGCGAAAAGGAATTAGATACTGTATTCAGATAGACAGTGAAGTGAAAAAGATATGAACCACAACGATCACAATAATATGAAAATAAAGCAGATATATCCAGGAAGCAATAGCTTTTATTAGATAAAAGAAGGTTAAAAAAGAATCTGGCTTTCAAGTAAAAATTTTTTAAAAGAGCTTACATTTCCAGCATCAGTTGGTTAACACATTATGCCTCATTTGATCTATTTTTATTCTATCAGACCAATATAGCTACCAAAGACTTTAATTAAGCCTTTAACTACATGCAATTAATGTTTTGTAGGGAAAGCTCTTAAAATAATTTGCATGGTTTTGTATTTTAAGCCATTATGATTTCTTCAAAGTAGGAGGCAGGCAGCTGGAGGGGTGAGATGAGGAAGGCCCATGTGTCTTAAGAAATCAAAGATGTGCAATTCCATATTTGGGTAATTAATAAGTGCCATACTGATGTGTATTCAGGCCAGGAGTGGGAATGTCAGGTTATACATTGTGACACGGGAGATTACACTGTAATCCTTCAGTGCCAGGTGCATGGGAGTTGGTTAAAATGAAGCACAGTCAGTTTCTTTATTATTACCTCATAGATTAAGGCTGAAGCCTGTTATGAAAAACACTGGCACTGATGATTGCCTGATTAGCTCCAACACAATAAATGATAAGAGCAACTGAGAGAGAACTAGATAAGAACATAACCTGAGTCCAATTAGCTTCATTTAGTCCAGCACTTAATCCAGGGGTCAGCAACCTTTTTCAGCTGTGGGCCGGTACACTGTCCCTCAGACCATGTGGGGGGCCGGACTACATTTTGGGGTGGGAAATGAACAAATTCCTATGCCCCACAAATAACCCAGAGATGCATTTTAAATAAAAGGACACATTCTACTCGTGTAAAAACACGCTGATTCCTGGACCATCCGCGGGCCAGATTGAGAAGGCAATCTGGCCCCCGGGCCTCAGGTTGCCTAGCCCTGACTTAATCTTTAACAGTGGTCCAGGCAGGGAGCCACATACCTCAGGAAATGATCTAATAGCCACTACTTGTTGTTTACCCCAAGAATCCAGAAATCGTAAGTACACTGCCTCTCTTCATGGATGCTCCATTTGGCTTGGCTTGGCTCACAGCAATCAGTGAACCTGCTAAATATTTGTGTCTAACCTTATTTAAAAGCAATCCAGGGTAGCAGCCGCCACTGTTATGTTGCAGTACTGAATTCCTTGTTGGTTATATAATTATTTGCACATTATATAATTATCTGTAAGTTATATAATTACCCATGAGCAAGTAAATCTATATTCATACCGATGGCTAGTGTGATGAAGTTGGTGGTACTTTGAGCTTTGTGGTTTTATGCCCTGAATCCCACCTGATGGGAACTATGCAGTTTAAAATGTGGCAAGCTGCATTTTGGGCTCCCCTACTCATTTGGCTGAGTGGGGCCCTGGGCTTTTGCCCCATAGTCCTGCCCTGACTTGTACCTGGATGAAGCCCACAGAATGACCTTGGACAAATCAGGGTAAAGATAAGATAATTTGAACGGAATTGGTCTGAATACACATTTAGTGCCCTGAACAACAAATGAATCAGAATGCAATGGATATACTTCTGCCTCAATTTCGAATGCCTATATTTTTTTCTTCAGACCAATGGGTATGGGGGGATCAGGGGGAGTGGGCTGAGCATTCCCACCCCACCAGCCTAAGAATACTGCCTGCAATCTAAACAGACTCTGTGTACAAACATGCAAATGGTTTGTTGTGACAGCAGACCAAACATGGATAAGTCAGAAGAGAGGCCTGACACCGATATTCTGGTTTTTTCTTCTTCTTTGGCATTGGCAATCACTTTTTTAAATATTTGCCTTGAGAGAGTCTTTAAACCTTTTGTTGACCATTTTTGCTTTCCATTTTTAAGTTCTGGCTACATCCACCCCCACCACCAGATTTAAAACCTGGAAAGTTTAAAAAAAGGTAAAGGTACCCCTGCCCGTACGAACCGCCGACCATGCGATCGGCAAGTCCTAGGCGCCGAGGTTTTACCCACAGCGCCACCCGCGTCCCGCCTTCTATATTACTCTCTACAAATGATGGACCATAGCTCAATCTTTGCATGCAGGGAGCCTCAATATCAGTTCTTGGCTTCTCCAGATAGAACTGGGAAATCCAGTTCTGTCACTGAATCTGTCACTGAAATCCAGAACCATGGCTAATCAGGGGAGGCAGAATGCTGATCAGGATGTAAAATCTCTGGGTGAAACCCAAGTGTTTAACAGCAGCAGCAACCAAACAACTTTTTCATGCCTAAATTAGGCAGCTGAAATGAAGAAATCACATCAAGTGTGGCCTGTTGTGTGAAAGGACTATGTCCCCTGTTCATTCTGGCACTGGAAACAAAACCCCTAGGCACAGAATGTGCTCAGAAGATCAACCCTGCTCCTTAATCCTTTGTCTTTTGCACTCGGCCTTGCTTCGTAAAGCTTGGGGTTCTACCCAGAGAACAAAATGGGCCCAAGAAGACTGACTGTGATAAAGAGCACCGATGAGGCCTGAGCTCAGCTTCCTATGCATAGTTGTCAACGTTTTCCTTTTGTTAAGGGAAATCCCCTTATTCCGAATAGGATTCCTCGCAAGAAAAGGGGAAAGTTGACAGCTATGTTCCTATGCTTCTCTCTCAGCCTCACGTATCTTACGGGGTGGTTGTTGTGAGACGAAGACACCCCGGAAGAGACCTGCGTTGTCTATGAAACCCACTAGCAGCGAGTAAGAGGCACGCCCGCCTCCCTTCATCGCTACCGGGCGCCTTCGGCTCACTGCGGAGTCGCCACGCCGGTTGACGGTGCCCTGAGGCTGCCACCAGCTCCGCTGCAAGCCAGGCGGGTCCGCGGCTGCGCCTCTCGCCCCGGCTGCGCTCGGCCCCACAGGAGAGGGCGACGGCCAGAAGCGGGGACCCCCCGCCCCCCACACGGCGCTGAACTCCCTTCTTGCGCGTTCAGCCAATGAACCCGCCGAGGGGGCGGGTCCAAGGCACGTTATAAAAGGGGCCGGCGGAGGAGCGACGCGGCGTGCTTTGCTGGTACCCGACGGGAGACGGCGAGAGGAAAGGAGGGTTTCTTGCGCGAGCGCGGGCGGGCGAGCGAGCATCGGCCATGTGCGGTGAGTGAGGGAGTCTCGGAGGCTGCTTTGTTGCGGAGCGCGAGGGAGCCCAGGCATCATGGAAAAGGGCTGCGGGCAGATCCACTCGGAGAGGTGGGGGGGGGACTTTGCAAAGGGAGACTTGGCATGCCTTGCTGCTGTTCTAACCATACAAAGGGGCCCTTCCATTTTTGCTGGGAGGGGGACTTGTGTAGATTTTGTGGAAGCAGAGCCGTATTATTTTCTAGGGAATCAGAAAGGGGAATGAACTGAAAACCTGACCTCGCCTTCCCCCAGAAAGAGATGCTTAGCGCTTCCTTTCCCAGTCAAGTCCCCCCCCCCCCCGCCCTTGCCATCCGGATGCTTTTATTGCTGTGCCCTCTGCTTCCTCCGGGTAGCCATTGAGCTGCAAGGCGACCGTAGTAGCAGTATGCTCTGCCCTGGCTTCCCTCCTCCGGAGGTTTTGTTTGTTTGCTTATGGAGGAGTTTAACGCTCCCATGCTCTTTATGAGAGCAAAGCCGAGCTGTTAAACTTAGCTCTCTCAGCAAAGGGGGACAAGAGGAACTTTCTCTCTCCCCCCCTTCCCCCCAATCTTGGTCCTTTAAATGCTCCAGGTACAGTAACTGAAATTCCAGAAAGACTTGCAAAATGTATTTTTAATTGACCTTAATGTCCTTTCGTGCAAATGTTTCTGAGCAATAGTTTCCCTTGCATTAGTAGCGGTTAGCGTCTCCTTCCCACTTGGAAGAATATCTGAACAAGTCATAAAAAGAGGTTTTCTGGTCGAAGATGCTGACCTCTCCTACATGGTTAAAATGTATTTTAAGGGCTTTCCTTCAATGGGACACTGGCAGACAGCAACATTTGAAATGTTCAGTTCATGCCCCCCTGTAATAATTAAGTAAAGACGTGGGGAGATCTGGGCGCCACAAAGCAAAGACCAAAGGATTGCCATTTAAAGGCTCATGAAATCACATGGCCAGGAACTTTCCCTTCCTGGATTGCCCTGTGTTCATGGTAAATGGGTCATCTGACTCGGTACAGCTTGGGCACAAGTCACTTTTGTGCATCACTGTTCAACCAGTGCTAGGAAACATGGAATTTCACCTTTCAGACAATAGCCTTCCTTAGTCAAATGTTTTTAAAAAGAATGTTCATTGTATGTGCATCGGTGGTGGCACACGGCCCCTGTTTACAAGACCAGAGCCCTCTGCACATATGGTCTCTTGTATTCATTTAGCCTGGGAGGGAGGAGGAGGAGCCTGCTACCATTATGCCCCCCCATCATGCACATTCATCGAATACACTTTTGAGCATCTGAAAATGGCTAAACTGTTGGTGTGATAGCAGCATAATCCTGATAAAAGGGCCTAGCCATATGCAGAAAGGCTATATATGAGCAGATCTCCAAATCTGTGCCTGCAATTCCTTATGATATAATTGCTGTTTCAGAACATCTGAGCAAATGAGAATTGCTTTAGGATAATTACCCTTAAAAGAAACAAAATCTAAGGATGCTGAAGATATGTTAAGTCAAGTAAAAAGGAATGGAATACATCAATAGGTATGGAATAAATGCCCCAGCCTATGTCTGAGAATTGGATTGGACATTATTAATTCCAATGGCCTGCTTCAGATTTGTACGTTCAGAACAGGAAATCACCCACCGTCGCAGTCAAAGCAATGTGTTATCTTTGAAAAGTGGACAAAAAGTGCCTTATTTTATCAGTTTAAGAAGATTCTGTTCCACCTGAATTTCATTAAGTGACCCTTCTGCGCTAAAGAAGATCTTATCAGGAATGACCCATATTGCCTGTGGTTAACAATTCAAGATTTTGTAACCAGAAATTGAAATAATACTAAATACTAAAAGCAACACATCTCTGATTGTAGAGCAGGAAACAGGGATATTGCACTGTTCAACTAAGTTTTAACTAAGGAGTGGTATCGCTGACTCAGTGTGAAGTAACAACAAGTATGTGATTTCAGTGCACTCAGCCTTTCTAACACCCTTCACTGCTGCCATAGCAACCAGGCAATTTTGGTGATGCAAAATGAATATGTAAATAAGAATACTGTTCCAAAAATGTCACTGGAAGTGGGGAGTGAAAGATTTCTGCTCGTAGCTGAAACTCCTTTAAAATACTCTTGGTGAAACAAGCATGGTTATATAAGAAGTTTTAAAAGCATAATTATTTTTCAAAAGAAAAATTCAAAACATAATACATTAAAATTCCATATATTTTAAAAACTTTTAACAGAGGTTGACAACCTTGTTCAGTCCTGAGAACACAGCTGTAGCTTGCTTGCTTTTGGCGATGTTGCTTCTTCCATTGTATATTATTTATTATTATTATTTATTGAATTCATATACTGCCCTATACCCACAGGTCTCAGGGCAGTTCACGGGATAAAATCACAATATAAAAAACACAAAATACATAATAAAAACAAAAACAAGGACAACCCAATAACCCCTCCCCCCCAAAAAATAATAATCAGAGAGGTAAAATAGAATTTTAAACAGAGAAAATAAGCACCCATCAGGTATCATCTAGGAGTAGATTAAAATATCAATTTAACTGTCTTTCAAATCAAAACATTTTAGCCATTGTAACCATTCACAGAAGCTCTTTTAGTACCAAGCCAGATTGGACATGGTGGAATTTTGTGACAATCTCTTGTGGAAGGCTTAAACATGAGCTCCATGAAATAAAGGGGAAATGAGAAAAAAATCTGACTGTGGATCCCTTTTTAAAGACTTACCTGCAGATTTCCTAAGCCAGCGTTTTTACAGGTGGTTCTTTCAAGGCTTACTTTAGCCAACCTTTTGCCATGCTGGCTGGGGCTGATAAGGATAGTAGTCCAAAACATGTGGAGGGCACCAGGTTGTTGAAGCCTGATCTTGGAAGATGTTTCTGTGAAGTTTTCAAATGGGAGTTGAAGACAGCAGCCTACCCCTTTGGCTTGCCCGCCAGCATCTGAAATCCAAGCAGATATGAGAAACCTACGAATGTCCAGGTGTGGGACTCCAACTTTTGCTAGCAGGACCAGTAATTAGGAAACATGGGAGTGGGCTTCAATATCATCTGGAGCGCTATGGGTTTCTCATCTCTGTTCTGAAGGTACTGCCTCTGAACATGAGGGTTCTCTGTAGCAGTAATACTAATGACTGTCGAGAGAATGTGAGTAACGACTTTTAAAAAGCTATTTAACTGAATTAAAGTTTAGGGTTCAGTAACATGCCTGGAAATGGTACACAGCTGCAACTGAAGTATTGGAGACTAATCAGTTTGTCAAATTAACTCCATGATAATACAAAACTGGAAGGGACGCGGGTGGCACTGTGGGTTAAACCACAAAGCCTAGGACTTGCCGATCAGAAGGTCGGCGGTTTGAATCCCCGCAACGGGGTGAGCTCCTGTTGCTCAGTCCCTGCTCCTGCCAACCTAGCAGTTCGAAAGCACATCAAAGTGCAAGTAGATAAATAGGTACTGCTCTGGCGGGAAGGTAAACAGCGTTTCCGTGCGCTGCTCTGGTTTGCCAGAAGTGGCTTAGTCATGCTGGCCACATGACCTGGCTGTACGCCGGCTCCCTCGGCCAATAAAGCGAGATGAGCGCTGCAACCTCAGGGTCGGCCAGGACTGGACCTAATGGTCAGGGGTCCCTTTACCTTTACTAATACAAAACTGCAGTTCTGAGATTATAGAATGGCAGGAAGACATCAGTACACTTGAAGATGGACTACTTTCTGTGAACCACAGAGATACAAAGTAGCTAGAGTGGGAGCCTAATCAAATAGAATTACTGCTGCAGAATACCGTTCCCAGTGTAGAAGATAAGTGGTAGGTCTATAATGCTCTAAGGCAGTACATATTTAAAAGCTGAAGGAGTGGAGTGTTGACTCATTAGTCTCAAACTATGAGACACCCCTATCTTGATCCTGGTAAACTTACAAGTACTGACGTTTCTTGAGGAATTTCCCCACTGGAAAACTCTCAATGACCCTTTCTTTACCCACCAGTTGCATTCCTCAAAGAGGAAGCAAGAATTTCAAAGCCTTGATGAGAGATAAAGGGAGCCGTTTTAAACAAAGATGAGCTTGTGCAACTTCTAGCTGACTCTGTGCTTGAAGAAGTGTGCATGCACATGAAAGCTCATACCAGTAACTAACTTAGGTGGTCTCAAAGGTGCTACTGGAAGGAATTTTTATTTTATTTTATTTTGCTTGAACTTCAGTTTTTTAAGTGCCAGCACAAAGCATGAAGGCTCTTTCCCTCACCCGCCTCTGTAACTTGAGTCTTTTCCTGTACAGAATTCCTTCTGTACGATCCTTTAAAAGCAACCCGATTCTTTTCAGTTTTTCTTCAATCAAACCAAATGATTAAGTCAGCTGTAAGTAGGAGTACTTAATGTCATCTGTTATCTCCTGCATGATAAAGACAACAGCATGCTGAAGGCTGTAACATGAAACTGTGCTTTTGGGAGCTTTGGCTGGGAAGTAGGGTCTAAGAAGAAAATAAGTGAGGATAATGAGGTCAAAAGGGAAATGGTCTAGTTAACAATAACAGGTTTATTGTACAACTCAATAAAACTCAGTAAAACTCAAAACATGGTTCAGTCTGTGGTTGTTTTCTATAGCTCTGTCCACATAAGCTTGTGCCACGTTTTGTTTGTCTCCAAGTTGCTGCAAGACACATCACTGTTTTTGCTATCACCAACGTATACTTGAAAAAATAATCACTCAGTTTCAAGCTCCCCCCCCCCCGCTAATTCTGCCACTCATAAAAGGTAATGGCATTAGCAATAAATGAAACTTAAAACTGCATTTGCAATTTGTGCTAGAAGCTCAGGCCAAAAACGAACTTACGTTTTGTTTTATTTTAAAAATAATTATGATGGAACAACAACAGATTCTTCAGTTTCAGGAAAGGAAGAGGTCTGGTTCATATTTTGTAATGTTTGTGACACATTGTAGCAATACTTATTTTTTAAAAGGCAAATACAGTGGTACCTCGGGTTAAGTACTTAATTCGTTCCGGAGGTCCGTACTTAACCTGAAACTGTTCTTAACCTGAAGCACCACTTTAGCTAATGGGGCCTCCTGCTGCTGCCACGCTGCCGGAGCAAGATTTCTGTTCTCATCCTGAAGCAAAGTTCTTAACCCGAGGTATTATTTCTGGGTTAGCGGAGTCTGTAACCTGAAGCGTATGTAACCCGAGGTACCACTGTACTTATTTTTTGCCTCTCTAAAAACTCTGTATCAGCTACTGAAGTTCAGGTTCCTGCCTTTTTAAAAAATAAATAATTCATTAAATTTAAAATTTGTATTACAAATATACAAGCATACAATCATACATTTCATACAATCCTTAAAAGTGTTCAAACATACCTACACTCAGTCCCACGAATAATTCATTTCAGGTTCGTGCCTGATCACTACCAAATTCATACTGACTTGCTCCAAAATATAGGCTATTTCTAAACAGCTCCTAATGCCCTCACAGTGTCCAACTGAGCAGCACATAAACCTAATCAAAAGAGAGAGGACAATCTGTTTGTGGAAGGAAGTATGTGAGAAGGGGAATGAGTTTAACAAGCAGTAGAGGGTTTGGCTACAGTCTAGCATGGAGTTAAGAGCATGCAAACCCATTGACATTTAATGGTATTGACTCTGTGCTGGGAATTTTTGGCCTCCTTGTGTGTGAAAGTGAGCAATTAATAAGTTAATAGAAGGCACAATAGAATGTGTGTGCTTGAAAGGAAAATTTCTTTCCCATGACCCAAAGAATCTGTAATATATTCCTTGGCAGCCCAGGCTCTGCTATCATTTTCAGTGAAGTCTCTAGTGGCTTCTGAGTCTCCTGGTATGCATGAATAGTAGCAGTGCTAGAGTTCTGTATAAACAAGGAACCTTTACCAAACACAGGACACTGGCTGCATTGTGGACAGATCCCTCAAAAGAGGCCTTCCCTGAAGTGATAATACACATAAAGACATGATGCCTTAATGCAGGAAATCTGACAGGTCTTGAAAAATACATGTTGTAAAGCAGTGGTTCAGAAAGCAGCAAAAGGGTCATTTCTTTTTTAAAAAATGAGGATATGCAGAAATGTTTAAAACACTTCTCTGGAAAAGTAGCAGAGAATTTGAGCTGAGCACATGGAAAAAATGTTAATAGCCATAAATTTAACAGACTTTCTTGCTGCCTCGGGGCAACTTTTTAATGTTACTATTTGCAGGCAAGAGTTACAACCGATATGTTTTAACAGAAAACCAAACAAAAACACAAGTCTTCAATACATTGGGCTGGGGGCTGTTATGTACCAGGCTTTGTGAAATCCCAGTTTATATTCTAAAAAGTTTTCCTTTTCAGGTCTGTTATAAAAATATCCGCTTTGCACATCTTCTTTTCATAGGTGGGAAATTGCTGACTTAACTTTTGCTCCAAAAGTACAAATCCTTCTTGGTGTCAGATAATACATATTTGACATGACCTGTGTAGCTTCAGATGTGGATACTAAATGATACACAGTTTCTCATTTATACTCATTTGTTTATTTATAATTTCATTTTATGTACAGTACCAAAAAGGGGGGGGGAATTAACCATAACAAAATTGATTACAAACAAGGGAGTATACAGAAGTTTTCAGGTACATAATCAATTATATGCTTGCCCAACTCTTGCCCAAATCTGTTGTAGCCAATCTGTAAGATATCTCCAAAGGAGTACCAACATTGGAAAGATTGCATACCAGGGATGAAGAATAAAAATGGAAAAGAAAAGTGGGAAAAGATCAGTGTAACTAATACATCTCACATTCTGAAGGGATGTTTGAATAAATTAGGGCTGGGAATTCAGACCAGTTGAAATTATTTCGTCAACTGACTGGTCAGATATTGTCAAATAATTGCCAACTGTTTGTAAAGCATTAATTTTATTTGGCCAAGAAAAAAGGTACAAAGCTGTGGCTTAAGGGAATGCTGTAGGGAAGGGAAATTGGCTTTTAGTTACAGCACCTACCAATCCGGAGTAGCAAAGAGCAGCAAAAAAGTATCCAGCTTTGTCCCCCATCTGCCCCCAAAATGTTGCTGGCTATTGGCAGTAGGGTGCTGTTGGCGGTTTCTTCTACCTACCCACTGTTTGAGTAGGTGGGCACCTCATCCAAACCCTCTCCAGCATGGCTTATTTGAGGACTGGGATTGTCTGTTAAGCATCAACCTGTTTAATATGGTGCTAATTACAAAAACAAATTAGTTTAACTGTTAAGCATGAAACTGTTCCCTGGCCATGGTAACAAATGACAATACACTGTAATATAAATGTAATATGCACTAAGTTTCCACCTCAGTTAGTGTTCTTGACAGCATGAAATATTTGACCATGATCAAATAGTAGGTTAATTTATTGGTCAGTTGACAGTAATTTGATCAGTTAGTTGACAAGTGTGCCAGTCATAAAGCAACCTGTCAATTGGTGTCCTAACCTGGGAATGTCACTCAAATAAATTAAATCCTTGATACTGACTAAAATTGTGCAACACTTTATGAATTATTGGATTGGGTTGCCTCATTCTAAAGGTTGTTGCTTAACTACGTAACAAACTTCATCTGAGTAACAAGACAACTCCCAAACCTTTATAGTGACAGGATTAAGCCTTGTAGGATTTGTTGTAAAATGTAGCACTTTGAGTTTATAAGACTTTATATGTGCTTCTGAGTATGTTGTGTAAACATATTAAAGTACCAGTTTATCATTCTTCTTTTCAATACCCAACAGGAATATTTGCATATCTGAACTACAGGGTGCCTCGGACCAGGAAGGAGATATTTGAAACTCTCATAAAAGGGCTACAGAGACTAGAATACAGGGGATATGACTCTGCAGGTATGTGAACAATCCTGTTGTGCAAAATTTCCACAGCAGTGGCCAAGTCGGTCTCCTACTGTAAGAAAAACAAAAGAGTCTTGTGGCACTTTAAATGCTAATAAATTTATTATGGCATAAGCTTTTGTGGACTCTAGTTCATCAGATGCATAAAATGACATCTTAGCTGGCAAGTACATAAAGGAGAAGATTTTAAGGTGGGAGTTGAATGGCAATGAGAGGCAGATATAGCCATCAATGATAATTAGAGCTTGGCAGAACAATCCAAACATCCTTACATTGGGCTGCTTATTTTATTTTAGTAGGTAGAGGTATTCCTCCACCCAGTGCCCTCATGAAATTTTGCTGCTTTTAAGTCATTTGGGGCTTGTCTAAGGTACGATGAGCAATACAAATGTTTTACCTCAACACCAGTTGCCTAAACATTCATCTGGCTTTGTAAGCAATTGTATGTGTTAACTAAGACTGTACGATAAGTTGTGTTCTGTATTTCAGGTGTTGCAATTGATGGGAATGATAATGAAGATAAGGAAAGGTACATTAAATTGGTCAAGAAAAGAGGAAAAGTGAAGGCTCTCGATGAGGAGTTGCAAAGTGAGTAGAAAGGGTGGGATTCAACTAACAAACCCCACTAACAACCAGCACAAGGGCTAAGGCTGAAGTTCCCTACCTCTAAGCTAGCATATCAATTGCTCTTCTTTGTGGACTGTGGTGGTTTGTTTAGCAGGCATGTCCGAAGTCCATTTTGGGGGCCTAATCCGGCCTGCCGGTTGATTTAATCCAGCCCCCGTGGCAGTACAGTGGTATCTCGGGTTATGAACTTAATTCGTTCTGGAGGTCCGTTTTTAACCTGAAACCGATCTTAACCCGAGATACCACTTTAGCTAATGGGGCCTCCCGCTGCCGCCAGTGTGCGATTTCTGTTCTCTTTTTTCTAAAAAGATATTTATTGAAAGTGTAAAAATAGTTGACAAAGTAGAAAAAGAAAAAAAAAAACCCCCTTCCCACCATATGAGTAAAAATTCAAAATAAAAAAGTGACAAAAAAAAGGAAAATACAAAAATACATCACAAACCGTTAAAAACATTTAAAAACAAATTCATTATTTTCAAATCCTTAACTGTCATTGCCTTCTTTCTTAGACCTCCTCCTCCTCCCTTTCTTTGTATCCTAGTTATTAATTATCCCAGCAAATCCTTTCCATGTTTCATAATATTCTGTCATTACATTACCCTAAACTGTTGTAATCTTATCTTTCTATAAAATAAGCCTTAAAGCTTAAAACTTAAATCTTATCCTTACCAACTTCTCATAACCATAATATTCTTTCATAATTCTTTAAACATCTTGGCTAAAGCCAAGTAATTTCATTCCAACATTTTTCTAACATTCATCAATTTTATAAAACAGTTCTAATGGTAGAGAAAAGAGATACAAACAAATCCAATCTTCATCCAACGTCCCTTCCTCCTGGTTCCGGCTTTTGTCAGTCCTTATTATCCCATCGATCTAGCCCATTAACCTGGCAACCTTATATCCGAGGCCCTCAAGTCTCTTCCATGTCCCTTCCGCAGCTCTTTTTCATATGTGTAACTGTATTTTCCCTTGTCTCCTGCTCGTGGTAACTCCAGCTTGACAATGTTCTTAACCCTTCTCAACAGATCAGCCCCTTTTCCATATTCAACACTGAATTCCATGTAGTATTTAAAAGCATGTTTCAAAGACCCTCCAAAATTAAGAGCCCCCACAAACCCAAACATCTCACGGCCCATTGCCATATTTGAAAAGTCCAAACGTCCCAGCATAGGGGGGTCAATCCAGCCCCCCATTTCCAAGCCAAACCAAACTTTTCCTTTCCAAATCTGGCTTTTTCCAAGTTCATTTGTCAAATCCGAAAACTCATATTCCTGTTGGGCCTGTTCTGTCAAGACACACCCCTGATTTAATTCCTGAGTGGGCTCCACATATTTTCCCACTGTCTGTTCAAAATTTCCCACTGCCTGTTCAAAATTTCTAGTCGAAGTCGCCATCCAATTCACCTTCTCATGTAATTGTTCCAGTAGGGCATTTGTTTTATAGAGAGCACACAACAAAGCTTCTGAATACATTGTCCTGCAAGGTAAGATGCCTGTTCCCACGGTTGTAATCTGTAACAGCTGCCGGCTCCCTGGAGTTGGTTACAGTTTCACAGACTCCTCTAGGGGAAAACTTCTATTTGTTCTTGCAACAAAGTTTCCCTTTTTGAGATACTTTGTTGATATATATTCCTTTAAAATGCGAAGGGCAACAGTGGAATCACTATGTTTCTCTTCTTTTAGCTATCTGTCAAAAACACTTGTCTTTGGTCAATGAACTTCAAACGTCAGTCCTGACACCCCGCTCCAGGATCAGGACGGAGGAAAGTTACTTTACTTTAAAGTCACTTTAAACAGTCCAAAAAGATCCCCCCCCTTCTCCTGCTGTCGAAGGGGGGTTCCACAATTTTAAATGCTGAAATCCAATCCTTTAAAGACGATTTTCTGAGCTCTAGTTTAAATTGTCTTTGCTTTATTCTGTTTACAAAGGAACGGAAGGCTGACTTCCTGTTTAGACCTTCCCGTTCCGTACCAAATTAGAGTAAGTTTTTAAAATCCAATTCTTTTCTGCTTGTTAGTCCTTATTTGATGTCCAATTGTTCAAAGTCTTAAGTACTCACGGGTGCTTATTTTAAAGTCCAAATTGTCCCAGGAAAAAGGCAGCGCTCTCCGGCAACGGCTATGCGGCTTCGCTCCACGGAAATAGCAGTTGACTCACAGCACCGCGCCACTTCCCCCCTTCACTTCGGAGCCCGTTAGTGGGTTCCTTAGCGGGTTGGGGGGGCGCTAATGGTGCCCGCCGAGTCCCATGGTCACAGGCTTCATCCGCCTGTGATTTTTAAAAGGGTCCCGGCTTCGCCGTAGCGGAGAAGACCCGATTCCCGCGGAGCTAGTCCCTCCAGTTCAGAGGGAGTCCGCCATTGCCGGTGGCGCCACCCCGGAAGTCCCCGCGATTTCTGTTCTTATCCTGAGATAAAGTTCTTAACCTGAGGAGGTACTACTTCCGGGTTAGTGGAGTCTGTAACCCAAAGTGTTTGTAATCTGAGGTGTTTGTAACCCGAGGTACCACTGCATATGTCCTGGGGTAAAATCCTAAGAAAAGCTCAGTAACTTCAATCAATCCTAAAAAAAAGCTCAACAACAACTCTGGTAGGCCCTCATGCATCAAATCTGGCCCTCTTTGAAAAATTCATCATTAGCTACAGTGGAGGAATGGTTGTTAAAATTACTGGATTTAGCTGAGATGGTGAAATCGACATTTTTAATCTGGGAAAAAATATTGCCAGCATTTACTAAAGATTGGAAACTTCTTACAGATTTTATGCATGAAGAAGAAAGAGAACTTAATGATATCAGGGTTTAAGGATTGAAGATAATAATGTTGGTTTATAGAAGGTGGATTTTCTGGGTGTTATCTTGGAGTGGCTGTGCTGAATAATTCTCCCTATATAGCTGACATATTAACAACTGGAACTTCTCTTTTTTATTTTCTTTTTCTTTCCCTCTTTTTCCTCCCTTCATCTCTCCTCCCCCCCCATTTCTTCTCTCTAGTTCTGTTGGGTATTTTTATTTAAATTTGCTTTTTAGGCTTGACGAAAAGGTAGCTGATATTAATCTTTGTATTTTTGTGTGCAAATTTCAAGAAAATTAATTCATTTTAAAAAAGAACTCTCTTCTGTTGGTACTGATGAAATAAATGCAGCCAATATAATATGGACAGCCCAGTTTCATGTGGTTTATTGAAAGTATAGAAACAAATACTTTCCACACAGTTTAGAATTTACAAATTGTCACTCTTTTATAATTAAATAGAAAGTTAAGACTATGTTAGTTACGTATTTTTGTGACTATAATTTGAATTAAAAGTGGTTGGGATTGATTTGTGTGTGTATGTGTTTGATTTTGTATACAGAACAAGATGGTCTAGACTTAAAGGCAGACTTCGAGACACATTTTGGTATTGCTCACACTCGCTGGGCAACCCATGGAGCACCAAATGCAGTGAACAGTCACCCACAACGATCAGATAAAAGTAACGGTAGGTACCTTCTAAAAAAATCTGTAGTTGCACCAGAGTAGAAATTCCCAGAAACAACTTTGGAAACCAGTAGACTGAAATGAATTGTTTGTGCATATTAGATAAGGTTGGTGATTACGTCAGATATTTTTTCTTCTTACACAAAGGAATGTTGTGGTTTTGCAAAGGTGCAACTCCAAGGATTCATGAAATTAGGGAATCTGAAGCAGCTGAGGCTAGAATGCCAGGATTCCATTCACAAATCAGATTGGAATTCCTACAAAACCCCTTAACATACTGTGTTTTCATTACCAAAAATCTAGTGACAGCAGCCCAACACAGTCACTGAAAGAGGAAAATAACGTAAAGCACTTTGCCGATTTAAAATGCTATTTAGAAAAGGTTCCAACTTTAAATCTTTGATTGAATTAAGCTGTTATTGATTGGTTCATCTCTTTTTTGTGTGTTTTCCTATTTCTTTCAGAATTTGTCGTTATCCATAATGGGATCATTACAAATTACAAAGACCTAAGGAAGTTTTTGGTAAGCTGAAAACAACTGGATGTCCCAAAATGTGTGTGTGCCAATTTCAGCTCTGTGGCCTGGTTAGCTTTTGCTCTATGGCCTGGTTCTCATGATGCACTAAGCCAAACCTTGGCTTAATGAAACCATTTGTACCTAGTTTAGTGGGGCCTATGATCAGGCAAGTGTTTATAGGATTGCAGCCTAAATGAAGTTTCTCTATGTGAATTTTGGTGGGTGATAGGAATGATGGTAATTGTGATTGAAACCGTAGATGACACTCGATTATGTTGTATGTAGTCTTAAAATCCTGATGGTAACACGCAGATATAAACATTTTCTTAAACCCCCCCCCATTCCAGGAAACCAAAGGTTACGAGTTTGAATCTGAAACAGATACTGAAACCATTCCAAAGCTGATCAAATATGTGTATGACAACCGGGAGTCTGAAGACATAAGTTTTTCTGTCTTGGTTGAGAGAGTCATTCACCAGCTGGTGAGTGGGAAATTTTCTCTCTTTATTTCCTATAATAAATAATATTTAAGACAATATGAAACTACTTTTCATGTATGAAGTTAAAATGTGGAAATAACTACTCAGTTTTGTTCTGTTGGGAAAACTTTAAAGAATTCTTTCAATTCCATGTTTTATTTTGCTTTCATTTTTAATAAAAATGCCATCTTGTTACATACCTGCCCTGTGCCTGCTGGTTAAGAGTGAGGTGCAAACCCAGAAGAAATAGAGGAAACTGTAGTATTTCTGAGCACAATGATTTTCTTTTCCTTCAGAAATATCAAACCGCGATAACCAGAGCACAATCCTGCCATTTACCATCTCTTGTCTTCCTCCTCTGTAGTTCTCAGATGAAAAGTTATTGCACCAGTTAAAAGATTTCTAAACTTCCTTGTTAGTTTAATAGCCCTGGGACCGTAGATCCCAAAGCTGAATGTGTAGAGTAAAGCTACATTTTCTTTCATCATTGTTTGGGACAGTTCATTCCTTCCAGTGTGAGAGCCAGTGTGGTGTAGTGGTTAAGAGTGGTAGATTCGTAATCTGGGGAACCAGGTTCGCGTCTCCGCTCCTCCACATGCAGCTGCTGGGTGACCTTGGGCTAGTCACACTTCTCTGAAGTCTCTCAGCCCCACTCACCCCACAGAGTGTTTGCTGTTGGGGAGGAAGGGAAAGGAGAATGTTAGCCGCTTTGAGACTCCTTCGGGTAGTGATAAAGTGGGATATCAAATCCAAACTCCTCCTCTTCCTCCTCCTCCTCCTCCTCTCTATTTACTCTAACCTGACTAAATTTAATGGGGATTAGTCCCACACGTGTGTTTAGCATTGCTGACTTGTGCATTTTTGACCTCCTCATTTTGTGATAATCTTTTGTTTCTGACAATTCCTTGATGCCGAATGACAAAAGATTCATTTTTTCCTCAAAGGGTCATTAGAGATAATAAGACAGGATCTTACTCTGTGTGTAACTATCATCCATGTCATCCTCCCCCCCACTAATGTTTAATTTCCCCCCTCCCAGGAAGGAGCTTTTGCACTGGTTTTCAAAAGTATCCACTACCCAGGGGAAGCTATTGCTACCAGGTTAGTAAAAGTATTTAGTGTCCATTACTATGTAATAGAAGCTGAGGATATATGTAAAGCTCTGTGGTTTTTTATACTTGATAGTTTGTAGAAGGGTTTTTTGCATTTGGTGGGGTCCATATTAATAGACAAGCACACAGGAAAGGTTTCTAGTAGATATTTTTTGTTTGAAACATTCAGTTTATCCTTAATAAAAGTTATATAACTAATTTACCTGTTGTTTCATTATTTGACAGGAGGGGGAGTCCACTACTTATTGGAGTTCGAAGTGAATCTAAGCTTTCCACTGAACAAATCCCTGTCCTATACAGAACATGTAAGTTATTAAAGCATTATAACCATACAGGTCTTGCTTTTGTTACAGAATTGTTGAGGAAGTGAGTTCATTAAACACACACAGAAATGCTCATGTTACTAGAAACCCCACTGGTAGACATATAGGGCAGTGAAATATTTGGATTAGCATCCCCAAATCTATTCTGAAGCATTGAGTTGAAACCCAGGCCATGTTTAGGGGGCAGATTGTGGGGAAGAGGGAGGAAGAACCTTGCTACACCTGTTTTAAAACCATGTAATTCTGTATTTCAACTTGATCTATATAATGAATCAACCTTCACAGTTGTGTGTGTGTGTGTTTTTTAATTGGCAGGCAACATTGAAAATGTAAAGAATCGATGCAAAACACGAATGAAAAGACTAGATAGTTCTACCTGCCTTCATGCTGTTGGAGATAAAGCGGTTGAATTTTTCTTTGCTTCAGATGCAAGGTAACTGAAAAATATGTGTGATCTATGTTAGCAGGATCAGTTTAGTTATTTACCCTACCCTTGTAATTCAATGGAGAAATGTAAATCAGTGGGACAGGCTGCTGCTGGCTGCAGCTTCTAATCCAGGCATGGCTAACCTGTAACCCTTCAGACATTGCTTCTTGAATACACTTCCCATCATCTGTAGCATTGGCCATGCTGGCTGGAGCTGACATTTTGAATGTGAGAGCCTTTCTAGAACTTGGCTACCAAATGCTCATTTGGTGTTGCAACTTTCCCATCTTTGAGTTGTGACCAAGATGTGGGGAGTGCATAATCTAAGCTCCTTTTTACTCTTAGACTTTGCACATGCAAATAGAACAAATTTAAATGGAGATTCTGTAACTTAGCTGACTTTGCATTCTTGTTTGTAGCGCTATAATTGAACACACCAACAGAGTAATCTTTCTAGAAGACGATGACATTGCAGCAGTGGCTGAAGGGAAGCTTTCTATTCATCGGCTAGAACGTTGCGCTAGCGATGACCCATCTCGGATCATACAGACTTTGCAGATGGAATTGCAGCAAATCATGAAAGGTAAGGGCAGCTGAACAATCTTGCTGGTCCAAGGGCATATGAAGGAAACATTTACCCATTAGAAACCAGGTGCCTTTCTGGTCAAACCTTAGCTACAGGAACAGCGCTAGAGATGGGCAGGGAGGAAAAAAGAAAGACAGTTTTAAAATAATGACAATAATGATACTTCAGTATCATTTCTAGAAGCTGGTGTTTCCCCAGAGCTGTAAACTGGTCCTGCTGATATTTGAGGCATCAAGTGTACTTCTATAAAGAAAATTTCTCAGTTTAACAGTTAATAAAAACAATGAATATTAGTATGATGTTGTTCAAAACATGTAAAGCATCTGAGCACTGAACAGTAAATAAACATAGGCAGAAAATTCAATTTCCACTGGTGTCTTGTTCGTGGAGGCAGTTGATCCATAGCCCTCTGCCTCACCCTAATGCCCTTTAGCCACCAAACCAGAACAACTTCATCTTTAAATAAGCTTAGTTATTGTTTAGGAGAATTTAATATTTATAACGAAGTGAATTCCCATAACCCCTTCTGCATTCTTTGCCCAATCTTTTGCTAGCAACAGTTTTGACTTTTGTTGAAATTGCTGTTCTGTGCTTGGTTACTCTTGCTGCAAATTCAAGTCTCATTTGAACAGTAATAAGAAAGGCAGTCTGAAACTTAACTAGTCATGTTTTATAAAAACAGGGAACTTCAGTGCTTTCATGCAAAAGGAAATATTTGAACAACCGGAGTCTGTTTTCAATACCATGAGAGGAAGGGTGAACTTTGAGAGCAACACAGGTAACATGGGGGAATTTTTAATTCCACTCAACATTGCCACTACTCTTTTTTTTTTTTTTTAGCAACCTACTCTGAACTAAAGATATCTCCTTGTTTCTGTTTCATGGAAATTACAGTTCTTTTAGGTGGCTTGAAGGACCATTTGAAAGAAATCAGAAGATGCAGACGATTAATAATCATTGGTTGCGGAACCAGTTTTCATGCTGCAGTGGCTGTAAGTTCAGTATACTCTTGAACATGTAAGAAAGATAATGGAAACGTATGGCTACAGGGATTTTACTTTTCTATTCTTATTTTGCTTTTATTTATAAAAGGTTTATTGATCAGTTTTCACAAAGTGGTGCTCAATAAAAATACATTGGACCTACATAAATATACCATAATAAACCCAGTTGTGTTTGGTGAGGTTGGGTGCAGCGCTCATCTGACCTCGTGTTCCCCATGTTGCTGCTGCATACCAGGGCAGAAGCTGTGAAAGACACTTAGGGGTGGCCTTGCTGTACCCTGTGTTTCCTGCCTGGTTAGAGATAGAATACAGCCCCCAGTCAACAAGACTTGCTGGTAGAGAGTGGCTGGGTAAAGAGCCTGTGGGCAAACATAGACCGCTTCCCCTCCCTGCTAAGTGCCTTGATAAGGCATACCAGAAACAGCTGGGATGAGGGACAGCCTTGAGGCCTCAGAACTCATTACTCAGGAAGAAGACACAGCGGATAGAGTGGTGGGTGGAATCCTAGCTAAGACAAGCTGGGAGAAAATGCTTGGCGGTGTGCAGTGTGAGAGAGGTGTAGGGCTGCGGGCTAGGCTTAACTGATGTCCTGGCTGAGAAGCTGACTGAAAAGAGGCTGAAGGGACCTGGGGACCTGGTGAGCTTCAAACAGTGCCTGAAGTGCACTGACATGGACCTCATAGATTAGACAGGGATGGGCTTTGATAATATGGCACCCTGAGCGAGGACAAAATTTGGTGCCTCCCCCCCCCCCCAAATTATTTCTTATTTTCACAATTATTCCTTTTGGTACAGTTGCTTTTTTAATGGATCTTCTCGGTAGCTACCTGGATAAATGTTGTTGTTGTTGTTATTTTGTGCTCCCTCGGCTTGTGGGAAACCGCCCACACGACCTTAAATCCAGCACTGGAGTAGACCCTCCTGCCTCAGCCCACAGGGAGGTGGGATGGTTCTGGGAGGGAAGAGCAAGAAGTTATCCCCCCCCCCTTCTGCTGCTCTACCCCACTGCCTGCTTGCTACTTTAAAAAATAATAGACAGGTTAACATGGCAGAAAAAGAGAGAGTGTTCAGTAGATGCCTTGGTAAGAAAGAATGCCTTTAATTGCTGACAGAAGCATGCCACCAAAGATGCTCACCATATCTTTAAATAAATAAATAAATAAATAAATAAATTAAAATTAAAATTAAATTAAAATAAAATAAAATAAAATAAAATAAAATAAATAAAATAAAATATAACCATCCATTATCTAACATACCCTACAAAAATAAGAAGAGTTGCTGGATTGGATCAAAAGCTCATCTAATCCAGCATCCTTTTCTTACAGTGGTCAGCATTTACCACAAGTGGGATGTAAACGCAACAGCACTCTCCTCACTTGTGATCTCGGCAAATATAGTTTATTTCTGCAAAAGAAATGCTCTACTATCTTTATGTTGGTTACAGACCCGTCAAGTTTTGGAGGAACTAACTGAGTTACCTGTGATGGTGGAACTTGCCAGTGATTTTCTGGATCGGAATACCCCTGTCTTTAGAGACGATGTGTGCTTTTTCATCAGTCAGTCCGGTGAGCTTTAATCTATGCTGTATGTTAATCTTGGCAAAGCTTTTTATTTGGTTTTCAGATCTATCATGAGCTGGTGACAGCTTCAGAGCCAGTCTGGAATAGGTTTTTTACACTCTCAAGTGAGATCAGGCATACCTGATTTCATCCTGAGTCTATGTCCCAGTCCCTTTCTCCATACCTAGGTGATAGATTCCTGGCTACATTTTTGAATGCTTTTTACTAGCTGAGCTTTGTATGTCAACTGCTACAAGCATATCACAGTAGAAATATAAAATAACATTCTACGACTACTCTAATTCGCTTTATGTGTTAAAAGGGAAATAGCATTCCTATGTCAAGGCTGTAAGATTTCTTCTCTGTTGATCATGTACTGCAAAGGAAAAAGCAGGCTTTTCGGAGTTTGTAAAGGATGTAATAAGCAGAGTGTATCTGGTGAGGCAATTAGATAACAGTGTAGATAAGTTAGGCCAGAACCCTCCTTTATTAACTAAAGAACTACTTGGCAGCAGAGTGACACTATACCTCAAGTTATCTCTTAACAGTGAGAGGCAAAAGAACTGGTGCCAAATAGAGAGAGGAATCTTAAATGCTTCTTTTGTGGTATAGCAGGAGAGCATAGAGCAGAGGTGGGGAATGTGTAGCCCTCCCATTGTTGCTAAATAATAATAATAATAATAATAATAAATTTATTTGTACCCAGCCCATCTGATTGGGTTGCCCCATTGGCCATACCGGCTGGGGCTGGCGAGAATAGTAGTCCCACAACATCTGGAGGGTCGCAGGTTTCCCACCAGAGAGGAATACTGCTTCTGAGGAAGAAAAACACTATCAAAATGTATTAGGCTTTCTCAGTCCAGTGAGTTTTCATTTGGCACTAACTTCAGGTTTGCCTCTTTTTGTCCCTGTGCTATTTTTGCTGTGGTGTTTTTCTTTTTGTTGCTGCTAACAATGGACAATGGGGCTTACACAATGATAATATTCCAGGAAATAGAAGATACAGTATAAGCAAACATTAGTCACTCCCAATTACTCCATTCTTTTTATTTAAGTTTACATTTTAAGTATCTCATCAACCTAATTAGAACAAAGTTGTCCTAAAGGATGCACATTTTCTGTCAGGCAACACTCAGGTTGAGGTCAAAGGGAGAACATGTAAATTGGTACGAGTGTTTTCAAGACAGAGGAACAAAGGTTGACGTGTAAACTTCAAGGCTCTTCTGTCAAGATGGGCACAACATAAGTATGAAATAGCTAAATTAGACCTAATAATGAAGCTTCGTTTTAATATAGTAAATCTGGGCATGAATAAGGATAATGGTTTTCGGTTCGCTACAGGTGCCAGTTAGCAATTGCTTGGATCACCAATTACTGTTGCTGTGAATAATAACGGTGATAATTTAAGATTGAATTGAATTTTCACAGTCTGTGTGTCTTCATTTCCTTGCTGTTTGACTCCTCTTTTTACAATTTCCTGCCATTTATCTTCCTGCCAATTTAAGATAATTATGCATCTGATGAAGTGGACTCTGGTCCACAAGGGCTTATGCGAAATGAAAATGTGTTAATTTCCTTTAAGGTTCTATAAGTCTTTTTGTTGCAATTTAAGCATGTGATCTGCAAAATTTTGTAGATGAAACCTAAAGGTACCATGAACCAGTCTGAAAGGGTCAAGGAGGACTAAAGTACATTCTCATTCTATCGTCTGATCTGGTGCATTTGATTTGGACAATTAATCCAAATGGCTATTGATACATTTTTTTAAAACCCTCTTTTCCTCCAAGTAGCTCAGCTTGGTATACACTGTTCTGCCCCCAGCCCAAATTTATCCTCAAAAGGTGATGTAGGGTGTGTTAGGCAGACTGACAGTGACTGTTCCAAAGTCACTCAGGGTGGGGATTTGAATTTCAGTCTTCCTAGTATGACATTCCAGCTTACTACACTGCACTATCTTTCCTATGGCTCCAGAGCTTAGATTCCTGGTGTAGGAGGGATTTTCCTCTGGCTTTCAACAGTGCACCAGCAGCTGGGTGGATGGGCGGGAGAAGTTCTTAAAAAGCAAGCTGGAGGAGAGCCTGGGGATCATAGTGTTCAGCTTGTATTTAAAACATTGCTTCATATTCTGAACCAAGAAACTACAAGTTGTGTCAATATCACCAGCTCAGAAGGGGTGAAACAGTATGGAAATGCCAGTCCACCAGGTTCTTCTATGAATGGGTTATACATTTCTAGCTATACAACCTTTTCAAGTCAATCTCTTCTGACTATATGATAGGTTAATAATTCTGCTGCAATTCTGAATTAAGCATAAATGTCAATATGTTCTTTTATTGAAGGGGAAACTGCTGATACGTTGATGGCTTTGCGGTACTGTAAGGATCGCCGAGCTTTGACAGTTGGAATTACAAATACTGTTGGAAGCTCAATATCCAGGGACACAGACTGTGGTGTGCATATCAATGCTGGGCCTGAGATTGGGGTGGCAAGCACAAAGGTAACTGATATGTAGTCACTGGTAGGTTTTTTTCTTTGACCAAATCATAGGCCTAGACATTTCTGCATAGATTGCCGGAATAATAGCCTTGCATGGTGCTAGAGCACCATGTTTTATGACACTGTAGGATGCTGCCATGTCAGACCACTGATGGGTTCATCTATCTCAGTATTGCCAGCACTGATTGGAAGTGGTTCTCCAGGGTTTCAGGCAGAGTATTTTGCAGCTCTACTTAGAGATGTCAGGAATTGAACCTGGCATCTTCAGTGTAAAACATGTGATCTGTCACTGACCTGTAGCCCTTCCCACTCCATCGTAATGTAAGAAATTATTTTGCTGAGGCAGGTAGTTTAGGTAGCAAACATGGAGCAAGCCAAATTAATGTCTTTTTAAAAATCTTCAGGCATATACCAGCCAGTTCATCTCTCTTGTAATGTTTGGTCTGATGATGTCAGAAGACAGAATTTCCTTGCAAAACAGAAGACAAGAAATCATAAGCGGTCTGAAGTCATTACCTGGTATGCATGTTTTTACCGTTCAAATGATATATAGATATATAGATATATGGGAATGCTAAAATTCAAGAATATGTGGGCCATTTCAAACGGGATATGTAGAACGTTTTTCAAATTATTATGTGAGTAAGGAATATCCATAGCTTTTATTTTTAAAAAATTAAGTTAACCATTTTTAATCCAACTTTATATTTTGAGGTGCTCATATTTTACTGTCATAGCTCCAGTTTGTACTGTATTGAGTTCAGAACCTTCAGGGAAAAAATAACAATTGAGAAAACAGTTTAGAGATAAAACGGAATAGCCTCTTGTTTAATGTCTCAAATCAATCCCCAAATTGATTTTTAAATCATCCTCTGTATTCGCAGATGTGTTTAAAAGCTATTGAGTGTTCAGCATAGGGACTGACTGAAAATAATTTTCCATATCTTTATTCAAAATGGCCCTGTGTATCTTTTTTTTTTTTAAAGGAGCAAAACACTGCTTTGCTAGTAAATAAAATTAAAGCTGATTAATCTGAATTCATGCAATCCTGGCCACAACTTCTGTTTTACTACTTTTGAAATGGTTGGCTCTGTAATACCGTAAATAATTATTGGTTTTAACCTGTTGGCAGAGATGATCAAGGAAGTACTGTCCTTGGATGAGAAGATACATGATCTGGCACTTGAACTATATAAACAGCGATCACTTTTGGTTATGGGTCGTGGCTACAACTATGCCACTTGCTTGGAAGGTGCATTGGTATGAATTCATAATCTCAGTTTTATTTGTGACATTTTTCCTGTTCTTTGTTTGGCATAGTTGGATGTTGTTTGTTTTTATTGTTTTACCTGGAATACTTGCCTGTATTTTACCCCAACCCGAGATCAGCAGATGGGCAATTTAGGAATATGTTAAATAAGTACATAATTAAATATGGTTACATCTGTAAGTAAAACATTTTTGCATACATTAGGTTTTTGCATATATAAAGCCTTCCATGGGCAGAAAGAGTCCTTCCTCCCATGGAAGGCAAAGTCTGGATCCAACCGATTAAAATGTCTTCTTTTCAGGGGGCGGGGGATTGCGTATCTGATGGGTTTTGTTTCAAAAAACTCTTAAGAGCTGTGTTGCTGAACAAAGAGGTGTAGATGTTTCACTTTTTTCTCATTTTGAGCTCAGTACATCAGCTATTGCTGCCTTGCAGCTTCCGTTAATTAAATCAAGACTTGTGTGCAGGAAACCTCAAACATACTTTGAACTGAATGAAGGTGGCGTTTATGATCTTAGATTTGAGGCATCTCTGATCTTCCTGTTTTGCATATGGGCATGGGAACCATACGTGTACATAGGTCAGGATCCAAAGAACCACATAACTTGTGAAATGTTGCCTGTGGGACTTTGGGCACAATGAAAGTGTCTTTTGGATTCCAACATCTGTCAGTTTTGCCTACTTGCACTTAATTATTTTTGAACGTAATAAATGCTTTTTTATTATCCCAGTGCTTTGGTTGTGATCTTGTTCCATTTGCTTTGCAGAAAATCAAGGAGATTACATATATGCACTCTGAAGGCATTCTGGCTGGGGAATTGAAGCATGGGCCCTTGGCTCTTATAGATAAGCAGATGCCAGTTATCATGATCATTATGAAAGATCCCTGTTTCACAAAGTGCCAGAATGCTCTACAGCAGGTCACTGCTCGCCAGGTAAATTGCCTAGTAAGCATGTCACTTTTAGGACTAGATTGCTTGTGCATTTCCTGCAAGATTATCATTATGAAGGGTAGTCATAGGCAAGAGAAAGTAGAACTGTGAGGTCAGAAAGGGCAACCAAAATAGTCATAGGGATGGAGCCTTCCCATTCACAATAAACTTTATCTGTCATGGATGCTTTAGCTGAGATTCCTGCATTGCAGGGGACTGGACAATATGACCCTTGGGGTCCCTTCCAACTCCATGATTCTATATGTATGGTTTGGAGGACATGGAAAGAGATTTCCTTTTCCCCCTTATCTCAGTAACTCTAGAACTTGGAATCATTTAATGAAATAGATTGGGTGTAGAGATTAAGGACAGACAAAAGCAACCAGTCTTCACACTATTCACAAATTATGGAATTGCTGTCAACTGATACAGCGATAACCACTACATAAAAAAGGTAAAGGATCCCTGACAGTTAAGTCCAGTCGCAGGCGACTCTGGGGTTGCGGCACTCATCTCGCTTTACAGGCCGAGGGAGGCAGTGTTTGTCCGCAGACAGCTTTCCGGGTCATGTGGCGAAACCAAAGCAGCGCATGGAAACACCGTTTACCTTCCCACCGAAGCGGTACCTATTTACCTACTTGCACTTTGACGTGCTTTCAAACTGCTGGGTTGGCAGGAACTGGGACTGAACAATGGGAGCTCACCCCGTCGCGGGGATTCAAGCTGCCGACCTTCTGATTGGCAAGCCCAAGAGGCTCAGTGGTTTAGACCACAGCGCCACTCACATCCCATAACCACTACATTAGGTATCTTTAATTGGCCATTAGAACTATAGTGAACAAAGTTTTGGATATAAGATGAGGTGGAAACTGTCTCTTAGCAGCTGTTGCTCCTCTGGACATTTTCAGCCTAGGGAAGCATGTGCTCAGAAGACACTGCTGCAAGCATATTATGCTGGAACTAGGAAAATACATTTCATGTTCTTAGGTTGTACATAACATTTGGTTTGATTTGATTAACATTTGGTTTGGTTTGCACACATTTCAATTTTCCCAAGGCCTTTTATTTATTTATTTAGTATTGTTCTGGAAAGACAGGGAGAAAGTAGGGATTTTTTTTAATGGCCCATCCCATGGGTTTGGAAATGTTACATCATCAGTAAACCTATGGAATGTTTTTTCCAGTAGAGGTTTGGCACTTGTCTTCCATACTAATAGTTAGCAGGTGTTCTGCGATGTTAGTTCTTACATGGTTTTTATTGTGTATATATAATTATTGTGAAAGACTTCAGTATTTTTTATGAAATTTGTTTATTTAATTTATAAAAATATTTATATACCGTTGTATTATAAAATATATACCACCGTGGTTTACAGAGATATGCAAAATGGCTTTCAACTTAAAATTTAGCTCAGTTGACATTAATTGCTGCATGTTGGCAAAATGTCTGAAATGCGCAGCAAAATATACCGTATTTTTCGCCCTATAGGACGCACTTTTTCCCCTCCAAAAATGAAGGGGAAATGTGTGTGCGTCCTATGGGGCGAATGCAGGCTTCAGGGAGCTCTGCGCAACCCTCGGGAGACCGGCTCCGATGGCCGCGCAGAGCTGCCTGCAGTCCCGGGCTCAGCGCAGCTCTGCGCGGCCATCGGGAGCCGGGCGCGAAGTCCCGCCCGGCTCCCGATGGCTGTGCAGAGGTGCCTGCAGTCCCGGGCTCAGCGCACTTCTCCCCATCGCCAGCCCCACAAGCTTGGGGGACAGCGGGGAGGCGGAGCGCGCCTTCCCGCTGTTCCCCGACCTGGTTCTTCCAGCCCCACACCTGGGGGGGAAATAATTTTTTTTTCTTTATTTCCCCCCCCCCCAAAAAAAACTAGGTGCGTCCTATGGGCCAGTGCGTCCTATGGGGCGCAAAATACGGTAGATGAAATGAAAATGTAACCTTGAATCAACTTTGATTTCTTGCTTTGCAGGGCCGCCCTATTATATTGTGTTCTAGAGAAGACACAGAGAGCTCAAAATTTGCTTACAAAACTATTGAGCTTCCACAGACCGTTGATTGCCTGCAAGGAGTTTTGAGTGTTATCCCTCTACAGCTGCTTTCATTCCACCTGGCTGTTCTCAGAGGATATGATGTAAGTTACTTCTATATTTAGGCACTCCAATTAAAGCACTTATACAAACACACTTGGACACTTCCCCTGTTTCTTCAGACTTGAAACAAGAATGATTACATAGAATTTAAACAAAGACCTAGTTGTGCTCTCTTAAGATGGAAATTCAGTGCAAATCAAATTTAATTTACTTTTACCCTGCAACATAAGCTCCAAATACTAAAAGCGTAGAAAACAAGTTTACACAATTACAAAAATAGTTTTGGAGCGCATGCCATTTTTCTTAACATGCACATTCCCATGATCCAAGCTATAAGGAGCGGTTTGCAGCAGATGCCTGTGCGACATGCCAACCTCCCCTTTGCCTTGCCCCACCCCTATCAATGAGTGGCAGTGAGCAACTCAGCAGCTGGGAAGCAAGCATTCTGGCTCTGCCCCCTGGGTGAGCTGCTGCTGCTACACAACAGTGATGTCAGTCACTGATAGGATACAAAGGTGCTCCACCTTCAGACTTTAGGTGGATGCTAAATGAAGAAAGGGTCCTGTCAGTTTTGTTGTTCTGACCATGGGATGCCATACCCAAGGATTGTCTGGTGCCAAAACTCCATTGCCAGTGAATATTTTCATTTTATGCATAATGCATAATCTGTTTTAATTGCTGTTGCTGGCTTGTTTTTTAACCTTCTATTGTTTCTCTAACATTTGTTTTAATTTTTTTTTCGTGCCTTGGGAGTTTACAACTGGGGCATATTTGCTTTTAAATCACAGGTTAACAGTGTACACGATCAATTACACTACACAGTTTCAATGTAATCTCTCTCAGTTTTCATACATTTTCTCACATTTTGATGATAATTTTGCTAGATTATCTATAGGGACGATCCATAGCCGGAAAGGTCAGAAGGAAAGTAGGGAAAGAAGCAGAGACCCAGGGTTATGGTTCAAATACGGCAGTAGAGAGAATACAGAAGGGATAAGTGGTCAAGGGAAAGTGGTCAGGCAAAGCCAGCTGGGAAGGGATGCAGCTATCTGTGGTTGTATTTCCATATACATTCTCAGAATTTGTGGAGGAATACAGCTAGTATGGTGATTATTATTTTTAGTCTGTTTTACTGAGTGATGCACATGAATTTCTTAAATGAAAAAGCCTCCTATAAATTGAATTGAGGATAATTTTCTTTTCTTTTCCCCAGGTGGATTTTCCGAGGAATTTGGCAAAATCTGTGACTGTGGAATAAGCATTGCACAGTAGAATATTTGTTACCCATAATCCAAAATTGAATTTCTGTCAGTGAGACTTTAGCAGACTGTTTTGATGATGCTGATTCTACAAAGCAAAGTAAACATAATTCTGTTTACTTCAGTGGGGTTTGGGGCTGTGGAAACCACAAACCAGTACAATGGATCTGTTGCTAACTGGAAAGTATTTGGGAATCTTTTGTTATTTTTTAATGTGATCTTTAATGTGCCTTTAAATATTTGTTACTTGCCTTGCACCTAAGTGCTCTTGCCACATCGCTGAAATAATAAAATTGCCAAAGAAAGGAAGAAAAAGCATTGTTTACAAATGGTTAATGAACAGTTTTTCTATTTCTATGACTGTGCAATATATGTATATAACTTTTGAGTTACTGTGAATAAGTCAACACTATACATGCAGCCTGAATCCATACATGTTTACTCAGAAGTAAGTCCCTCTGAAATCAGTAGGATTTATTCCTTGGTATATATGCATAGGAGTGCTGCCTTAGTTCTAAATACAAAGTATTTATATATACACAAATGTATAGCATTTAAGTTATTTTTAGTATGTTGGTTGCCTGTAGTAGTGGGCTGATTTTACTAATTGTGTACAAGTTCTTTTACTGTTTCTGCTTTGTATTTTTAACTGGAATTCTCTTTCCTATTGTATTAACCTTTCCTATTTACTGTTATGGGATTGTATCTGTATTTCCACAGATCCTTTCATCTATCTACACTTTACAACTTCTGCACTATTGTGAATTAAAGTTTCTTCAACATCATTCAGATTTAGTTGTGTTTTGCTGAAAATTTCCTTTTGACAAAATACCAGTTTACTTGAGCCAAATTATCTTCATGTTCTTGAATAGTATTGTTTAACCATAGTAAGCTATTGGCTGTTGTGTGAGCTCAGTATGTTTATATTTAACTATTGTACAACCAAACGCTATGCAATTAAAGAGACTATTGACTGCAAAATGTTCTTGACTGGGTTTTCTGATTCTTTTCTACAACCTTTATTTATAAAAGCCAGTCTCCAACATTCCATCACTCTATCAAAATTTTGTAATACTCTTAAGAGAACTCAATCCCATAACCCAGAATGTGGAGCTCTGTAGAGAGGACAGGGCCTGATATTCAGTGGTAGGGTGTAGGTTATGGTGTGAGGGGGAAAGAAGTGATTTATTTGAGGATATTGTGCTGGTCCTCCAATGAAATTGACTGGTAGCTTTAGAACAGACGAAAGGAAGTATTTCTTCACACAATGAAAAATTAATTGATGGAATTCACTGGCACTAGAGGAGATAATAGCTACTAGTTTTCATAGATTTAAAAGTATATTAGACACATCTCACAGAGGACAAGTCTAATGGATATTAGTTATGATGAATGTATGAAATTTGCAGTTCCTGGAGGTCAACAACAGGAGAGGATTACTTTTTCATGTCCTGATTGCAAGCCTTCCAGAGGCAGTGGTCCACTGTGGCTGCTCTTATGTTCTTAATTAGCCTGTGCTCTGCTGTGATTTGATGCCTCCTCTTCAACCTTTTGGCCTGGCATTGTGGACACTGTCGGATCCACTGGTATAATTAGTTAATTTTATATCCTGGACTTAATGGTGGATAAGGTATAAGTAATAAATTCTTATTCTTATGGAGAGCAGGTTAGGGATGTGGGCTCTTTAGATGGTAATGTGTATTACTTCAGAATATAGTACACTAGTCTTGCTTTGTTGGGGGGCCCTTTTTCTCATTCTGCTGTGTTCTGCTGCATATTTCAGCCCTGGTGGTGCCTCTGGATGAAGCTCACAGTATAGTCTTGGACAAATCAGGGTGAAGAAAAAAATTCTAACTACAGTATGGGGATGTTTCAAAATTTCTGATTACTATGAACTGACACAAAGTATCAGTGCCACTGACAATGCAGACAGGTAATCATATTGTGCACTTAACTGGTGTATCTTCAAGCTTCATGGAACTTTCCAAAGTAAGAAAATGACTGTCTGTATTTCTAGCAACTGTGTTGCTGAAGTCCTATCACTTCTTCACTTCCTAGAGAAATAAATTTTGCCACAAAGATAATTTCTCAATATGTTCCCATACTGCAGTTTTCAAAGTAGCAATTTTTACGCTACAGCTCACTGAAGAGAATAAGCAGTCTGTACAATAATGTCCCTTTTTGGATAAAATTCCTTTAACTTTGAGAGGCTGCACATGAGATGTAGATTCTCTGCTACTTAGTGACTTCAATTTATTTAACTAGTTCAAGCTCACTGGCAGCCTCAAAAGCCTTGGGATTTGGGATAAAGTGAGCTTACATTCTTTGTTCCCCTGCAAAACCTGTTCCAGAATTTTTTCCCCTTTAATTAAAACATCCTGTTCTTCTGATGTTTCTTCCTCTACCCCCACTACTATTATTTTTATCTCATAGTCGGTAGTGTTCAGTTTTTGCTGGTTCCTCAGGTAAACATCCTTAGAGGTGCCTGTGGATTCATTGCTGTGCCGGGAGACACATGTTGGCAAGAGCACTTTGCATTGGCTGTACCCATTTTTGTCTTATCTCCTGAAGGGCTGTCCCATAGAAGAGATTAAGGGTCAATCTGCAGACCTATTTTTTTATATTCACATATAGTTAACATGTTCTGAATCATTTTGAAGATGATTTTCCAGAGTTTTATTATCTGACAACAGTTTTACAAAACAGATTTTTTCATGTGAGTAAAGCAGCCAGAAGTGTGCTATGAAAGACAACCCAAATTCCTCTATCCCCCACCCGCTAAAGTTTGGTTAAAAATCTCTTCAATAAAACAGAATAGGTTAGTGACCCTTTATTGTACTGATACTTCTGCTTTCTCATTTGGTAAACAAAATAAACTTTATGTTTGGACTAAAGGAGCTGTGGGACACAGGTGGTGCTGTGATCTAAACCACAGAGCCTAGGGCTTGCCAATCAGAAGGTTGCTGGTTCGAATCTCCGTGACGGGGTGAGCTCCTGTTGCTTGGTCCCAGCTCCTGCCCATCTAGCTGTTTGAAAACACATCAAAGTGCAAGTAAATAAATAGGTACCGCTCTGGCGGGAAGGAAAATGGCGTATCCGTGAGCTGCTCTGGTTCGCCAGAAGCGGCTTAGTCATGCTGGCCACATGACCTGGAAGCTGTCTGCAGACAAATGCCAGCTCCCTCGGCCTGTAGAGCGAGATGAGCACGCAACCTCAGAGTCGGCCACGACTGGACCCAACAGTCAGGGTACCTTTACCTTTAAAGGAGCTGTAAAATATGATTGGTCAAGCCCCACTCTTACCTGTATGACATCAGGATTAGGGTGGCTGGCTGTGGCTTGCCCAAAATAACCTCGTGGGCCAAATGGGGAAGTCTGGCATGCCAAGACTGGCCCATAGGCAAGAGGTTCCCCACACCTGATCTAGAGATAAAAAAATTAACCTCAGGAGCTGAGCTCTCTTGCCTTGCCTCAGGGGACAGTAAAAAGGTAAAGGTAAAGGACCCCTGACAGTTAAGTCCAGTTGTGAACAACTGTAAATGGTTGAAAGCAGTATTTAACACAAAGCGTAAATGAATTTTAACATAATATAAAATAAACACCACAAACGGGGGGAATAATGACCCTATGGGAAGTGTGAATATCCTGAAAGAAAATGCAGAAAGAAAGAAGCAGAAACAGCTACTGAAGTACTGTTGTCAGTTGGCAACTTTGTTGAGTTTGAAAACAAAATTTATTGACCATGTGATGCAACATAATATTCATCCTCTTTGTAAAAAGAGGGATTTCTGTGACATTTGTTTTCCTCACAAATTGTATATGTTCAGTTGCAAAGGAACAAATTATTAGGGTGTTGCCACAGCTAAGTGCAAATTCCCATGGGCATTACAGCATCACACATGGGCTTGATGCTGACCTACAATTTGTGAATTCATAGTTAACCTCATATGCACACTTGCTTTTGGTCTTGCTTTGCAGACATTTATTTGAGGAAGTCTATCAATGAATTGTCTCAGTTAGATTGTTCATGCAACACTGGTCACAGGTCATTTGCCAGAAAATATTTCTTTCCACAGTCTCCAATGATCATTACAATAAGTTGGACACTTATTGAAGCATTAGATGTTTATTGGCAAGGATAGGGAAAAAACAATTCATACTTTTAGCAAAAACACTTGTTCGTAAGGTTGCAAAATTGTTACATTGGTCAGAGTTTTTAAAACATAGTAAAAAGTAAGCATTTAAATTAGCAGCGGTATACTTACTGATTATTTTGAATTAAGAGGATCAAGTCAGCTAATGAACAAATGGTTTAATGTTAATTGGAGTTCAAATAATATTAGCTAATACACAAAATGTCATATGAAGAAACTTACAAATCTTACATTCCATACAGTACATTCCATACAGTATGGAATTACCCTAAAGAGTTGCTATCTTTTGCCCCCAAAGGCTTAAGTTACAGAAGGATAAATTATGTGGGTTCCTCTTATGGGCTGCTGCCCTTTTTGAAACCTTGAAGTTTTACACCAGTGATGTAAGTTGTATAGTGTATAATTATGTTTTGGATCTTTATTGTTAAATGCATACCCACCCCCATATAGAAAAAACTGTACCTTAAAGAAGCAGCCTTCTCTTTCCTGCTGATTTCTATTGTGTCAAATGAACAGGATGAACATCTGTTTAGTGTTCTTTTGTTGCCAGATGAATCTCATGCTTGGTGAGGATAAAATTACCAGATGCCATTTTTCATAGAGGTGTCTCATTGTAATGGAAACAATATAGATTAATTTCACAGTTGGGTGTGCATTCCTCTATCAGTGGATGGCGATATTCAAACTCCTTTCCCCATATTTGATATACCAGCACGAGATTCAAATGTCACTGTCACTGACCCTTGTATGCCACACTTTTCCAATATCCTATTGTGGTAAATAGCAGGTTACCCGACGGCTCCAGCCCTTTGCTGGGATTGCAAAGTCCAGGGCATTTATGCATATGAATACATTTCAAAAGCAAACACGTCGCACTTAATCCGTTCTCCTAGCGTTTTGATATATGAAAATGACGTTTCCACTGCTGTGCGGAGTGGGGCAACTAGCTGTGTGTCGAGTGCTTCATTCATGCTTAACGTCATTTCACCTCACAGCGGAAAAACAAAATTATGGGGAAGCCTGACATCAGCCATGCGATCATTTGCTGGTTTGTCTTCTTCATCTAATACAGTATTATACTAGGGAAACGGCCTTCCATATGTGTCACCCTATGTGAATATTGGAACCGCTCACTTTCGCACAGGCAGGTGACGCTACCTCAAAGCACACACCCCTCCCCCCCTCCCGCCCAGTCACCGAGGAAGGCGCTTGTCACTCCTTACCTTATATAGTGGCCTTTAACACCCGCCTCCGAAAGACTGGTTGGCCGACCCTCGAAGAATGTCGGCGTGGATTGGCCGCGGCGGCTGCCTGTCATCACGCTCGGGGCCTGGTGCGGCCTGTGAGGGACCGAGGGAGGCCATTGCGGCTGGAGCGTCTCCGAGAGCTTGGTCAGGAATCGAAGAGGCAGAGTGGCTCCCCCGAGGGCTTCCGAGGAGGTGAGGCGGGCGCCGGAGCGGGCATGCTTGGGGCCGGACGAGCTGTGGGTGCGGCCGAGGGATACCAGCGGGGCTGGCGCCGGGAGGAGGCTCCGGGGGGTTGTGGGTGGGTGTGGGGAGCGTGGCGGCGGCGGCGGCGACCCCCGCAGACGGCTGCGTGATGACTTCAGCCCCCCTCCCCCACCCGGAGCTGCGGCTGGAAAGTTTCCCCGCCACCCCTTCCTCCTCCTCCTGCCCCTGGCGAGGGGGCGGCGGAGGCTCCCGCTTTAGGCCCCGGCCGGGTCCAGCCCCCCCTGTTCCCACCCCGCGAGCGCCCCCCGTTCCCACGACTCGTTTTCGTCTCCTGAGCAGCCGCCCGGGGAAAAGCGGTCTGGTGCCGCCCGGGGAGGGGGGGTCGTCTCTCAGGGGTCGCGAAACACGCAGGAGGTCCTTCCCACCCCGCTCCCGTGGCATCTCCTCGCCTGACAGCATTGGGCTGACCCGGCTTGGCTGGTACCTGCGCCTCTCTCGCCTCCCTCCTGCCGCTCACCCCCTTCTGTTGCCGCAGTGGTTCTCGTCCTTTGCGGTTTGTGAGCAGGAGATGCCAGGGATGGACCAGCCTCTTCGTGCTCTGACGCAGGGGTCGGACTGGAGGGTCCCGGTGGTGGTGGTGGTTTGCTATGAGCTGCCACCCTCTCTAAACACTGGTCTGGGAGCAAATCCCATTGAATCCAGCGGAGCTTACTTTTACTAAGCAGGCCCGCATAGGATTGCGTTGATGGAAAACCAAGCCCCCCAGGAGCACTTTGGTCCTGCCCTCGCTAAGCTTTCAGATGGGCGTTTTGCAACAGTCCTGGTACACATTTTCAATGCCAGAACAGAGCTATCTAATCTGTGCTATGGAAGGTGGAGGTTAACAACCCAGCTCTGCACGTTTACTTGGAAGTAGAAGCCATTGATTTCTGTAGGATGTACTTTCAAGGAAATGTGTTTTGGATTTCTGCCCAAGCTTTCTTTGAATATCCCCTGTCCCATCACGGAGGCACAGTAAACTGTTCTATTCTTAAATTATTGCCAAAGGAGAGAGGGAGATCAACAATTCAAGCAGGAGTTATTGTTTAATGTAATTGAATAGCACATCTAGGTTGCCACTAGTGCTCCTCTTGATGTCATACTTCTCTGGATAAGAATGACTGTGCTTTAAAATTAGTATGGCGTACTGTCCGCTTGTCAAATTGTTGAGTTTGAGTTGTGTTGGATTGTGTAATTATATCCCTCACATAGAGAAATTACCTTTTAAGAGAAGTCTGCTTGTTAGATCACTTTTCCATTTCATGTGCCAACACATAACTGAAATTATTAAGAATGCTAGCTAAAAGTTGCCTTCTAACTTACATGATACTTGTTGGTAGCTTATTTTGTTAAGAGCATTTTTTTGGTCACATATAGGGAACATGTTTTTCTTCTGCTTCATTTTTTTACTATTGCCCTTTATACACCCCTTCTTACATTTGAAAGTGCATTATTATCGACCTTGTATTCATGTTCTTGTGAGAAGGGTCTCTGTTTAGTCTTTTTTTAATAGAAGGGGAAGGTGATTCTGGGGTATTTTTTACTTGTTCAGAATCATGGATATTCAAATCCAATACATTTTCTGTTAGATATATATTGGAGATAGTTTTAATGTCAAATATTGTTTTGGTACTGTGATATGTTAAACATATACTGAGTTCCTCTGAAAGTAGGTAGGATGTAAGTTTTAAAAAGAAATGTCCATAGTACAGTCTAAGCAGCTGATATACACACTGGAACTGCACCTCTAACCTAAGAACATAAGATCAAACTAGAGGCCTGTCTCGTTCAGCATTTTATTCTCCCAGAAGTCAACCAGATGCCTATGAGAAGCTTACAAGAAGGATATGAGCACATTAGCACTCTCTTACTTGTGACCCCAAACAAAAGATATTCAAAGGCATACTGCCTCTGATACTGGAGGTAATGTCATGATCATATCTAGGAGCCATTGCTCACCTCCCTGAATTTGTCAAAATACTTTTTAAAGCCATCCAAATTGATGGCCATCACTACATCTTGTGATAACATTTCCCACAGTTTAACTATGTGCTATCTTGTTTGTACATCACACTAAGCAAGATCATTGCTTAGCACAAATGTGTGAGAGTGCAGACTTTCAAAGAGGAGATTGAAGCTGCTGTATTCCTCACTGGTCATTCAACTGCTGTGCTAAGCTAAGCCTTGGTCATCCTCCAGACTCATGGTTTAGCTCTCCCAATCAAATCTTGAGCTGTTAATCACAGGACATACATTGGTTACTGCTCATGGTTAGTGTGCAGAGAACTAAAGCATGAGCCTAGGTTCACATGACACACTAAGCCAAGCCATACTTTAACTCAACACAGCAGCAGATTGACTAGAGAGGGGCAAAGTGGCTGTAATGTCTTGAGAGTCCACACACTCGTGCATTCATGCTAAGCCATAGATTGGCATAGTGTGGCATTTGTACCAGATCAATTCATTGCTTTTCTGTTTTGACTTTCCCAACATTTAGCTTCATTTGATGAAATTTTTCTAAGAACTATGAGATGTGCAACTCTGTCTTATGCAAGTTCACTCAGAAGTCCCACTGAGTTCACTGAGAATTACACTGAAGTGTGCATAGGATTGAAGCCATTTTGTTTGTTAATGTTTAGTTTAGAGCCACTTCGTAAGTTATGTTTATACACAAGTACAGTGGTACCTCTGGTTACGAACTTAATTTGTTCCGGAGGTCCGTTCTTAACCTGAAACCATTCTTAACCTGAGGTACCACTTTAGCTAATGGAGCCTCCCGCTGCAGCCACGCGATTTCTGTTCTCATCCTGAGGTAAAGTTCTTAACCCGAGGTACTACTTCCCGGTTAGCGGAGTCTGTAACCCGAAGTGTTTGTAACCCAAGGTGTTTGTAACCCGAGGTACCACTGTACTGAACATGGATAATAATATTTTGTGTTGTTGCTTTCCAGTATATTAATCACGGCAAAATTACAAATGATAATTTATAAATGGGTTGCATGTTATTCCTACAGACAGAAGTCTATTTCATCTAAGAGAAACATAATTAATAAGGTAGCCCTTACTTTAGAGTGCATGTAAAACCACAGCCTATGGAACTGCTAATATATCTGTGGCAAATAACCACGCTCTTTTTCTGTACATGCAGTTATGAAGACAAAATGTATATCACGTTTCAGGAAGTAGTAGAATTAAACTGATGAATTCTAAACTGGAGCATTCCCTATTCATATATACAGTAAATCAGATTTATTCAGGCATTTAAATATTTTTTGGAAAGTGTTGCTATCCTAATTTCCTAGCCACACTGACAATGTGCATTAAATAAATCTGAATTGGGTAATATTGGGAGCCTCTATGTGCAGATTTTCATCATGTGCAAAACATTTTACAGTGACTAAAGTTAATTTTTGAACTATCTAAAATCTAATTCACTTCAGAAAATTTCAGTTGCATTGAGTTTTTATTTTCCCTGCAATATAAGCCCTTTTAGTGTTATTGCAGGGATGCATCAAGGTGCCCAATCCCCTAGTATTTCCTCAGTCATCAAATGAAAGACGCTTTGTACCTACAGCTATATGTGTGAAAGCTGTGTTGATATAGATGTTGTTCTGTTTGCATAGATGGCAGCAGGTAAAGCTACTTGATGCACCCCCATTCCTGTAATGCTCAATGCAGGAGCAATAATGCCTGAATAGGGCAATGGTAAGATATATATTTGCTGCATTTAATTATTCTAGATGACAGAAAAGGCCTTCAAATATGTACAGGAAGTTACAACAGAGTAAATGGAGGGAGAGGGGAGAATGAGGAAGGAAAACAAAAGAAAAAATAAGAGTATTGTGCCACCTTTAAGACTAATATTTGTATGATACAAACGTTTGTTCACTAGAACCTACTTCAGCATACAGAAAATGCCTGTATAAGACCAGAAAAGCAGCTAGCCAGAAATCCTGTTTTTATGAGCCTACTAAGAGGCTAATAGAAAAAGAAAAAGGCTTCTATCAGGTGGACTGGCAGAGGAGAAGGAGGACTCTCAACCCTTCCTTTGCCAGGTCTCTGTACTGGGCAAGGTGAAAGGACTTGCATTCCTTGGTAGCCAGAAGAAAACAAGGTGAGCTGGAGAAGGAGGAAGGATGGAATGACCCTTCTCTCTTTTGCTTACCTCCCTGTATGAAATTCCCTGCCCATGCCTGCATGAAAATTCTGCTTGCCTGTGGTAGCCAGACAAGACAGAATGATAAGTTTCACTTTTAAAAGATCTGTTTTTTCACTCTTATAATCTCCCCATATGCTGTCAGATTCTTTCTCAGTACTTCTACAGCTGCCTATGTCAGTTTTAGACACTAGGGCCAAATTCAACTAACCTGATGTCCTACTGGCACACTAACTGCAAATTTGTTCTGTAGGGTCAGGAACATCCCCCCTTGAACTGTGGGTAGGTGGAGGAGAGGGTGGTTGTTGTTCTGGCAAGCAGAAATGCTTGTGCTGATGGAAGGATCGGAAGAGGAAGGCATTGAATTCCTCCCGCAGAAATTACTTTGACATGCATTAGACATTTTGGGCCCACCTATTAACAGATGGAGGAAAAGAAAAGATAAGGTGGCAAGCATGGTCTTGGGCAGTATTCTGTCTCAGTCAGCTGGTGGATGAATGATTCTCCATGTCAAAATGTTACCATCACATAGAAAAACTAGATTTGGTGAGAAGTGTTCAATTCTAGTCTTCTCCTTGATGTGCTAGTTTTCTTTGTGCAGGATGAAGAGCTTTTAGTCATTTATGTCTGCTTCTGCAGCTTGGAATGATCAGGGGTGAGTGTCCATGCCACCTCTGACTGATGTGACAAACTCTTCCTCCGGAGCTTGGAGCTTGGAGCTTGGAGCTGGGGGTGGGGTGGGGAACTGTCCCTACAGTTGCAGCATGCTTTGGAGACATAATGTGAATATTATCTCTCCTGTATTCAGCTCCAAGTTTGAGGGGACTGTTAAGCCTCATTTGTATTGTTCTGTGTTTTGGGGCTCTCCGAACACCTTGGAAGCACAACATGGTAAGTTCCAGCCCCCTCCTGAACTTGGATCTGGGGGCTGGGGTTTGTTCCTTGTCGTGGGCTGTATTTTGTAGGTGTTCGGGGTACCTCAGAAGTTCAGTGCTACATCAGAGCAAGACTTGCTAACCACTGCAAATGGAACAGTCCACAAAACTTAATATCAGACACACTGATTATGATAACTATGCCACCATTTTGTAAATATTCCTTGTTTAATAAAGTACCATGCATCTGTTGGCCTTTTGGCCAAATCTTCATCAGAGAAGGGCTGAACAACTTTAACAGTTGTAGAGACTGAATGACCACCACAGCAAAGGGGAAGTACTTTGTAATGTGCATAAATGCGATTCCTCTTTCTCTTTCCCTCACCAGTTTGTTTAACTTGGTGGTCTTCTACAGTGGAATCTATGCTTAAAACAGTGGTGTTCAATCCTGCTTGCAGATACCTAGCCACTGAAGATAATGAAAAAGTCTGGATAAATCCCTAGACTCAGAAGTAAGCCCCAATGGGATTTATTAATGGGCAAAATAGGATTTCAGCTTTAAGTATACAGTTAATATGAAGACTGGTGCAGCTTTGTAAAAGCTTGAGATTATCCCCAGGTTACTACCAAAGCATAGCCTTTGGTAACTGCCAGTGAATGCTGTAACTTCCAGTCAAGTAGGCAGCAAATAATGTGTGGGTAAGATGCTGGCACTGGATTGAAAGTGTTATGAGTGTTTATTGCTGCTGGTTGTACTGGTGTGTGTGTGTAGGGCACACCACTAAGATCTGACTATTTAAATTATAATGCCAATTTTTTGCACTGGCTCTGTATTTAGTGAGCTTTTTTGTCTTTCTTTTCTATTCTATCTTGCACGTATTCTGCAATGAAATTCTAATGAGAACCTTTGGTAGCAGTTGTCATTTTATATTCCACTGTGCCTTATTAGTTGTACTTTTTATTGATACTCTTTTTTGCATTTGCTGTTTGTGTGACTCTTTTGGTGATCCAGAGCAGGTAAGGAATGTTAGATATGTGCCTGGCTGACTGTATTGCAGAGAGAAGGGATCAACGGAATCCCAGGCAGGGTAATATTGACTCTTTGGAATACACTGGGGGAGGGATGATGTTAGGGAAAGTAGGCAGCAGGCACTTGACCACACACACTTACCTGTCAATAGAACCTAGGTAGTCATACCAACCCTCCCAGCTTGAAGTGCTATTGCTGAATGCCAGGTAGGTGCATAATAAAACATCTTAAGGTGCTGATCAGGTATGCATTACGTAGAACTGGGTGAGCCTGACTGTCCCAGCTGTGCCTACCTGGTACTTAGTATGACAATAGCAAGGATTGCAAATTCTTTCATTAGTAATCCAGTGTCCCTGGGTACCAGGGTCAAGGGAATGCACCTAGTGTTGGGTCATGGATACAGAACAGGGATTCTCACCCCACTGCCCAACAGCTTCCTTGGCAGAGCTAGCTGGAACCACCTTAGTGGTGATGCTAGGCACCCAGCTATGTATGTCCATACCATCAGAACCACATGTAGCTGGATCAGTGCTGAACCGGAGCCTAAAAGTGATAATAGGCTGGATGAGGATCAACAAGCTGAATCTGAATTTTGGCAAGACAGAGGTACTGCTAGTGAGTTGTTCTCTGGTCTGGGAAATGTTTTTTTTTTTTTAAGAAGAAAGAAAAAGGTGATCATTGGACTACTTTGAAAATACAGATTTCCTTTTTTAAAAAAATAATAATATTTATTGCATTTTAAAGGGTTACAAAAAGAAAAAGTTAAAAAACAGCATATTTAAGAAATACAAAACATCACATCACGATAATATAAAAAAAAGAAGAAACAAGAAAAAAAGAGAAAAAAAGAAAAAAGAAAAAATACAATAAATCTTCCCATAACTTATCTTTCATTTGCTTATTTCCTTGACCTCCTCACACCTCCCTTTTTTGTATTCTAGTTCAATTAGCTATTTCAGCAAATCCTTTCCATCTTTTCCAGTTTTTGTCCTCTATTCTATCTTAATATAATGTAAATTTACTTTCCCTCCTTCACCATTTAGCAATCTATTTTTCCTTAATCCTTTATAGCATTTCTGCTAAAACCACATTATTTCATTCCAACATCCTTCTAACATTCCTTAATTTTACAATGTTTCTGTAAATAAACTTTAAATTTCTTCCAATCTTCTTCCACCAACTCTTCTCCCTGGTCTCGGATTCTGCCAGTCATTTCCGCCAATTCCATGTAGTCCATCACCTTCATCTGCCATTCTTCCCGGGTGGGTAGATCTTGTGTCTTCCAATACTTCGCAATAAGTATTCTTGCTGCTGTTGTGGCATACATTAAAAAAAGTTCTATCCTTTCTTGGCACCAATTGGCCGACCATGCCCAGGAGAAAGGCCTCTGGTTTCTTCAGAAAGGTATATTTAAATACCTTTTTCATTTCATTATAAATCATTTCCCAGAATGTCTTAATCCTTGGGCATGTCCACCAAAGGTGAAAAAATGTGCCTTCAGTCCCTTTACATTTCCAACATTTATTATCGGGCAAATGATATATTTTTGCAAGCTTGACTGGTGTCATGTACCACCTGTAGATCATTTTCATTATATTCTCTCTTAGGGCATTACATGCCGTAAACTTCATACCTGTGGTCCATAACTGTTCCCAGTCAGCCATCATAATATTATGTCCTACACCTTGTGCCCATTTGATCATAGTTGATTTCACCGTTTCATCCTGAGTATTCCATTTCAACAGCAAGTTATACATTCTTGACAAGTTCTTAGTTTTGAGATCTAACAGTTCTGTTTCCAATTTTGATTTTTCCACCTGGAAGCCAATTTTTTTATCCAAATTGTACACCTCCATTATTTGGTAATAATGGAGCCAATCTCGCACTCTATTTTTTAGTTTTTCAAAACTCTGCAATTTTAATCTGTCTCCCTCTTGCCAAGGATGCTGTTTCTGTTCCAAACATTGCAAATTTTGTATAAAATGGATTGTTTCAAGAAGTGGCAGAGAGATATTTCTAGATTTGTCTGGCAGGGCAAGAAGCCCCAAATAAAATTTAAGATATTAACTGATGCTAAAGAAAGAGGTGGATTTGCCCTGCCAGACCTTAAACTTTATTATGAATCGGCCGCGTTTTGTTGGCTGAGAGAATGGCTGCTTCTTGAAAATACTGATGTGTTGGACCTAGAAGGTTGTAACAACGTATTTGGGTGGCATGCATATCTGTGGTATGATAAGATTAAAGCACATAAAGCGTTTAAAAACCATATTGTCAGAAAAGCACTGTTTAATGTCTGGATAAGATATAAGGACTTGCTTGAAAATAAAACCCCAAGGTGGCTGTCACCAATGGAAGCGAAGGCTCAGAAAAAGCTCAATATGGAGGCCAATTGGCCGAAATATTGGGAAATTTTGGAAAATACAGATTTCCTTCCCCCTGAAAAAAGGTGGATTTTCAAAGGATATAAAATCCACACATCACCATGATGAGACTGTGCGCATTAAACCTGCAGAGGAAATAAATTGATATGTCCCTCCCTACAAATGGCTACCTCTTTGGTGTTTCTGTTCACCTAGACTTATGCTTGATTTGATTAACCTGATCTAAGTCAGAGGTTTGTGTTGTTGCTGTGCTGTTTATTGTGTCTATTTATTAAACTTTCATTTTTACATACATACAGTATGATATTATTTTGGCTGATGGATTGTTTTTATTTATTGCTGTATAAACTGCTTTGTGAGTTTGTATGGTGAAAAATGGTCTACAAATGTTGGAAACGAGTAACATAAATAAAATGGGGACTTCAAAGTTTTTATACCTCCTGAGACCTCAGTGTAACAATATATTGACAGCTAATTTAAGCAAATTCTGTTATATCTATTGTACAGTGCTTTACAAGTCCGTGCATAAAAACCAGTGATTTTTATGGGAGTTTTATTAATCCCAGATTTAAGGACACTCCCTCAGTTCCGAGGAAAGGTTCTGTTACACAAAGTGAACACTCTTCCCCAATTCCTGGAATATAGGGAGTAGCCTGGAGAGCCAGCTGTCCTCAATACTGTGATGCTTCTCCACAGTGTGGTGTTAGTGGCAGCTGTTCTCTTTCTTTTCCCTCAACTTGGAGCTAGAATTTAAGACTAGGTGTGGTAAAAGAAACTCTACTTGCAGGTAGCCTCCATATCATTTACTGCAGAGACTGAGCATGGACTAGTACTCTCTTTCCTACCAGAGAGGGAATAGTCAGTCATTATGTGGGACGCGGGTGGTGCTGTGGGTTAAATAAACCACAGAGCCTAGGAATCGCCAATCAGAAGGTCAGTGGTTCAAATCCCCGCAACGGGATGAGCTCCCGTTGTTCGGTCCCTGCTCCTGCCAACCTAGCAGTTCAAAAGCACGTCGAAATGCAAGTAGATAAATAGGTACCGCTCCAGCAGGAAGGTAAGCGGCATTTCCGTGCGCTGCTCTGGTTCGCCAGAAGCGGCTTAGTCATGCTGGCCACATGACCCGGAAGCTGTACGCCAGCTCCCTCGGCCAATAAAGCAAGATGAGCGCCGCAACCCCAGAGTCGGCCACGACTGGACCTAATGGTCAGGGTCCCTTTACCTTTACCTTTATGTGGGTGAGGTTTTTAATGAATGGGGTTGGATTAATTGATCCTCTTTTTGTTTCTCTTGAAATATTTGTTGTTGTTGTTCTCCATCCTCATCGCACCTGACTCTGGAGAAGGACCAAAAAAAAAAAAAAAAGGGAAAAGGGAAAAGGAAAAAGGAAAAAGAAATCAGCATCCAGGTCTAGTATATTTGTCTGGCTTGGCAAATAGCACAGCTAGGCTATGTAAACACCGCAGTTTAAAGTGGATTAGATGCACCCCATGTGTGCAACTTCTTTGCATCTTCACATGGTATTGTCTTTATCCAAGTGGCAACCTCCACTTCCCCACTTTAATAAAAAAAAATTTATTCAGAAGTTACAACACAGTACAGTTACAGTACAATAATTTCAAGTCTGCATTCATGCTACAATTGCTACCTAGTGTTTGTAGTGATTTTAAAGCAACTTTGCAATGGTTTGAAGGGGAAAATATCTATAGCATGCTGAAGCCTGGGCCACGCAGGTATTCTGCAAGATTGATTAACTGATTGAATGTACTTCATAAAATTTATACACAACTTGAGTGTTTAAAAAAACCCCTCATAGCAGTTTATAAAGAGAATAAAACAATATAATTATCAATAAAAGCAATAAAAACAACTTTAAAACTTTCAAAAGATAAAATCAGTAATAAACTAAAAACAGATTAAAGCATATATGTCTGGGTAGGCTTATATATACAAAAATGTTTTGGTTCTTAGGGTACTTAATGTTTTTTTTTAAAAGACATATGGGCTGCAATTTCAGAAGCAGTGTGAGCCTTGTCACCCCACATTTTTGAAGCTGATGCCCTGCCTCCAATATATTCAGCTGCTTCTAGTAAACATCTATCATCTGAAGGAAAGCTGAAATACACTTGTTTGGCTTTGAGCACCTTTTTCTTTTAACTTTGTGTGCTTTGTGTGGCTCACAGACCATATGTTGCCCACCTGAAGATTGGAGGTTATGTTTTACTTTTTACACCTAGACATGAAAGGACTTGCTTTTACTGAATGTGCCCAGTTCTGAACAGAGAAACATCTATGTTGGCTAAGGTATATATATGTGTGTATTATGCACACAGATGTAAACACTCAGAAACTGACTTATTGGTATCTATGCCTGGCAACGGAAACTGAGTGTATATCACTGTCAAAAATACATTTTCCCAGTTCTGTAGTGGAATGTAATAAAACAATTTTGAACATTTCAACAGAAAGATTTAACTTGTTTAAATTGTATTTTGAATAAATAGTGAAATATAATCTAAACTCTTTAGTGAGGCTGTTTTTTTTTTTATTAAACTTGTAAATTTTGGTTTCCATTTTGGTTACTTTACTATAGTATAGTATAGTATACTATAGTATAAGCCAACTAGATTAAAGCTCTGCTACTTACACAAATGCAATATTTAATAAACACTAATCAAATTTACCAAAAGTTTTGGTCATATGTATTAATGATTTATAAGAGAGGCTGATTTGGCATCAGATTAAAGTTTTGAATTTTCAATCTCCTATTCCTTTCTTACTTTCTTTTTCAGGCAAACCGCAGTTTACCTGTAGATCCAACTATGCTAACTGTGGTTTGTCTTTCCTTCCACACCAGAACTTTAAACCCACCAATTCTGCATTGGAGGGCAAGCACAATCCATAACCTGCCAATTTGGATGTTGCAGCAAACTATAGCTGGCTTTGACTTGATAACCATACCATGGTTTGCTATGTGTGAACCAGCTGCAAACGTATAATCATTTGGAAATGTGAGTTACTGGTACTTCATTGCATGTTCTTTTTTTTCTCCGTACCCTATAACTTTTCTTGAATAGAGCGTTGAATCCAGTTCATATTAATGATACTTCACATAATATGTTGAGGTTGGTGGAGGAAGGGGAAGAAGCGATGATGATGATGATGATGATGGGACCAGAAAGGCTAAAGAAGGAAAGTTTAACATAAATATTTCCATGAAATTCAGATATGACAGGAGTATTTTGAGGTGGTATACAGTTGGGCAGGTTTCTTCAAGTCATCTAGGCCTTATTGCCAACTTAAAACATTGTTTTGGCATAGTATAGTCTAGTGGTATTCACCAGCTTCTGCAATTAATTTTATTTTCCAATCCTTCTGTATTATGCATGTTGTGGATATATAATTAACTTGAAACACTGTCAAGTTTCTTGAGATGTTTGTTCACATAAGTGCAGTCTCTCGTGTAATTCACATTAACATTAGATATAGCTTGTCATCTTATTTTTAAAAGCCGTTTAAAGCTCCTGCTGCCTGGATTTGTTTTGAAATTTTGCAGCACATTCCCCTAGCAGGCAGTGAAATTTCTGTAGTTGGCACAGTGATCCAAACAAAACAGTCTGTTTGGCTGAGGATAACTTCTTTTTTGTTTGCTTCTAGTGCTGTAACTTAATTCTCTCCTCCCCACACAGATACTTATTAGTATTTTACAATATTTCTCATATTCCAGCAAGCACAATCTAGGAGTTCAAACATTTTCTGCTCACCAAACGTCCCACCAAGAAGTACAAAACAACTGCTGTGGAAGCAGAAATCTCTCTACCTCCTGCATCTGAACCAGGGTGTGGGAAGGAAGATGTGTTTTCACGCATCTTTTACAACATGAAAGCACTGGCAAAGCACCTGCTGATCATCTTCTTAGTCTTCTGCACAAAAAATGTATCTGGATTTGGGACCATTGGTAATAATAAAGTAGGAGTGCAAACAAACATCATACATGACATTGTTTGACTTAACATATTTACTGAAAAGTAAGTCCCATTAAATTAAATGGACCTTATACTCCCAGATACATGGGTTCAAAACTGAAGAGTTGTGGGTTAAGAATTTCATTCAAAAAATGTATAACTTGATAGCAGAGGTGGCGGACATTGGTTTGCGGCTCTTTTGAGGGCTGTATGCCAACCTGAGCCAATTTAACTCATGCACACAAGCTTGCACATGCGTGCACACTCACTCAGGACACACAAACTCAGAAGGAGGAGGAATAGACTTAGTTCAGGGAGTTGGACTTGATGGCCCTTGAGATTCCTTCAAACTTTACAATTCTCTGAAATAAGTACAGTGGTACCTCAGGTTACATACGCTTCAGGTTACATACGCTTCAGGTTGCAGACTCTGCTAACCCAGAACTAGTACCTCGGGTTAAGAACTTTGCTTCAGGATGAGAACAGAAATCGTGCTCCGGCGGCGTGGCGGCAGCAGGAGGCCCCATTAGCTAAAGTGGTGCTTCAGGTTAAGAACAGTTTCAGGTTAAGAACGGACCTCCGGAACGAATTAAGTACTTAACCCGAGGTACCACTGTACTGAACATAAGTGAAGCGCGGACAGGCAACACACATAAACAAAGAAAGAGAGGACAGACAGTGACACAAACTTAGCAGTGTCTTTGCTGTCTTGGACAGCTTTGGTGTATGAGGGTCATCGGTTGCTCCAGTTCTTCCTTGGGGGGGCAAAATGTTAAGGATTAATGTTAATGGGTTAATTCTCTATGAATCAGCAGAGATAACCCATTCCGCACCATGCACCTGCAGGCATCTTGTGACTCTCTTATCTGTGCTAGTGGACGGATTTGGCAAGTGACTTTGTGTATAAAAGGGCTCAAGGTTATAGCATACTGTGTGGGTCATGGTAGGAGAATTGCTGAAGGCTATCTGTTGGAACTACGGATTCAAGTGAAAACTTTTTGAAAAGATCGTCTGAGGAAGAAGTTGGAAAATTTGTGGACTTCAGAAGTTAGAGAACTCTTATCACAGGCATCCCCAAACTCTGCCCTCCAGCTGTTTTGGGACTACAACTCCCATCATCCCTGACCACTAGTTCTGTTAGGGCTGAGTTTGGGGATGCCTGTCTTATCAGCTGCAGGACTTTGAAAGCAACTGACCTTAGGACTTGACTGTGGACTTTAACACAACAAGGACTTTGAAGCAAAGAACCCTCTCTGGGCTCAGAGAGAGAATGCTACTTGTAATGTTTGTAAATAGTGTGTGTCCGTATGTCAGTATTAGCCTAATAAAAACAACTCTCCTAAATGGCTGTTTTCTGCAGTGAGCTTAAACGGCTTAACTGAAGCTTTTTCAGCGCCAACACACAACACCCTGTTGTCTCCTCCTACTTCATCATTGCCATGGGAAGGAGTAAGAAAGCCTCCTATGTTTGAAAAGGCACCCTTCTCTATCTGGTGTGGCACCACTGCTAGAAGATTTTAGATAAGAAATGGAACAGAATGCTTCTTCCTCTGTTCCAAGGCACTTGAAGACATTCTACCCATGGAACTGACTGGAAAAGAATGGTGCTGTGCCAAAAGGAGAAGAGGTAGACTTCTGGACTCCATGGGGCAGCCACTTGCCTATTGTTGCCTGTTACTTGGGAGAGGGCAGGAAACCCACACAGAATAGGACATGTGTGCACAGGAAATGCTATCTCAGCTAAGATAGCATTGCACTGATCAGTCATTCTGCTAAAATCACTTTTGGATCATCCATTATGCTCGTCAAGTCTCTTAAGTTAGTCATCTAAATGCACATCATGCTTTGTTCTCTCAGTGGTTGTCTAATTTCTAAAGAGAAATGCTGTTGGCAGCTTTGGGTACATATTTATAAGAAGTTTCACTTTTTTTGGTTCTCTTTCTACAGATCTTGAAAACTGCCAAATCCTGGGAGGTAAACTACATGACACTACATCATGAGCGAGAGTAAATGTGACAGTCAGTTTTACAGTGTTCAAGTCTCAGACTCGACATTCACTGTACTAAAACGTTACCAACAATTGAAACCTATTGGCTCTGGGGCTCAAGGCATTGTATGGTGAGTAGCTACTTACTGGAGAAAACTAGTATAAGCATCAAACTGTAATATCACCAAAATTTTGATCAAGGACTCAAAACAAAGTATTATTATTATTATTAGCCGCCCATCTGACTGGGTTGCTCCAGCCACTCTGGGCGGCTTCCAACAAATTAAAATACAAAACACAGTAAAACGTTAAACATTAAAATCTTCCTTATATAGGCGTGCCTTCAGATGTCTTCTAAAAGTGAGGTAGTTTTTTATTTGCTTGACATCTCATGGCACATACCTTAATTCCACACATACATAGAAACAACAGAATCTAAACATTATTTTGAAGTACAGTACTGTTCCGTGATGAAGTTGAAAATGAACAGAACCTTTAAAAAGTCCTGTGTCAGAATAAGAGCTCAACTAAAACAACAAGTTGATTAAAGAAATTATGTAATCTTAACACCTAGAGAAGAATTGTCTCTTAGTTTTTGACTGAGATATAAATGCACCTGCCTTTTAAGAAATTTCTAACTATACTTTGACTAATGGAACAGGATGAAACGCTTCATGCGTGGAGGTCTAGTAATTAGTCTAGTAATAAGATCTGATTTATTTTTGATTGAATAAAGTAGAACTCGAGAGGGTTTTCATTTGTGCACTTTGCCCTTCACCTAAAACAAGAAGCAGTTTCTTTGGGGTAACTGAGCTTGTCTGTCATATACCCTGACACCCATGGCTCTGATTTTAAAAAGATGCAATTAAGATGTTTCTGTTTTAACTTTTCAGTGCTGCATTTGATACAGTTCTTGGAATAAATGTTGCTGTAAAGAAATTGAGTCGCCCTTTTCAGAACCAAACACATGCAAAACGAGCTTACAGGGAACTTGTGCTTCTAAAATGTGTCAATCACAAAAATGTGAGTAATGTTAATTTATATTAGAAACAAGTAAATGTAAAATAATAATTGAATGAATGTCAAGATGAATCAACTGGAACTAAAGCCATTATTCTGTGATTCAAATAATTAAATAATTGAGCGAGAGATCAATTTTTGCTCTGTCCTGTACCTCCTGTAATGAAACACTGTAGTTGTTTTAGGACTATTTCCTAATTGCAATGTAGAAGACTAGTTATTCATAGTTTGTCATATTTCTTTGAAAAGCTAACTAAATTTGGGTTTTTTCATGCAGGTCTCTTTGTGGTCTTTTTGTTGTCTGTGGTTGGCTTTAGGTAACAGTTCCTTGGATAGGAATGATCTATGGCTTACACCACAGATTGGCAACCAATATTTCTAGAAATGTATTAAAAAACAGTCCAGTACAGTATGTTTCTCTTTATGACCATTAAAATGACCCTCGTACCTTCCAATTTTACGATTCTATTATTATTAGCAGGCTTATAATGTATATTTAGTAGCATCCACACTTCTTAGTAACCGTTATGTTTTTCTTCAAAAAGCAGTAAAAAAACCCCTTATCAATAGGGTATTGATCTCTTTCCACTGAATATTTGAACAGGCAATGTGGAAATGTATTTTCTAGGCCTTCTAGCAAAATAATATATCACTGAGATGCAACTGAGCTACTCCCATAATCTAAGAATTGGCATACTTCAAAACTCTGGTTATTAATTTTTCCATGGATTTATTATAAAAAAAGCTATTCAATCCATTAAACAAATATACTTGATTTATCTCATTTATGTTGAAATATTGACTATCCCTTATGGAACTTGACAAAAAAAATAGCATTATGCAAACTGAATGAGGATAGTGAGTTAGTTCTAAAATATTTGTGAATCACTATGTTAATCTCATTTTTTCTTGCTACAAAGCTTCAGGTAAAAAGTTATTAAATAATCTGATCTATATGCTGACATTGCCATGTACTGTTTGATTTTTTTTTGCAAATCATTGTGATGGTGATTATAATTCTTTTATTTTGGTTTTACAGATAATTAGTCTATTAAATGTATTCACACCACAGAAGTCACTAGAAGAATTTCAAGATGTGTGAGTTTACTTTATTGTGTTTTCTTGATAAATATCCGTTTTAAGATTTTAAGGCCAGATTCTTGATGTTCTCTGCCTGAAAGCAGTTGGCCTATAAATGATTTTAAAAATATATTGTGCTTTTTGGAGAAAAATGCTGAAGCCTTCTTGGAAGCATTGAGACTTATGAACGAAACATGACACTCCCCCCAAGTGTTCATTTCATCATTAGGAGATGGGTTATTGTTTTGTTTTTGTTTTATTATGTGTTCTCATTTTGTATTTTTATGTTGTGAACCGCCCTGTGATCTTCAGATAAAGGAAGGTATCCAAATTAAATAAATAAAATAAAAAATAAATTTTACTGGCCACATAACTGACATTGGGGAGAGGGAGTTGCTTTGTTTATTTTCCTTTGCCGAAAGAGCGGTCAAACCAGTATCCTGACAATATTTTCAAACTGAGATGTGAACTAGTGTCAGTTGAAGTTTTGCCAATTAACTTCAGTGGGAGATTTGTACCCAAAGTAGTAAAGTAATAGATTATTTGAGTCTGGATTGCTAAGACAACAAAATTGTACTACGTCCACTGTAATTTCCATTTTGCATTCCCACAACATGTTAAGCTATGACTTACTGGGACTGTGCAGACTTGTGGGCTCCTAGACCACCCATGTCTTTTTTATGCTCTCACCCATGTTGAGCTAAGCTAAGGTCTGGCTTAGTTTGTTGTCTGTACCTGAGCTTGTGGTTACGATCTCACATTGCTAACCACAAGCTGTAGTCAACGTTTGCTCCTGTAAAAAAATACTTTTTTAAATGTTTCAGGTATTTAGTTATGGAACTAATGGATGCTAACTTGTGCCAAGTAATTCATATGGAGTTGGACCATGAAAGAATGTCCTACCTTTTGTACCAGATGCTGTGTGGTATCAAACATCTCCATTCAGCTGGTATCATCCATAGAGTACGTAGTGCTATTACAATTGTATCAATAACTGACTTTCATTAATTAACCTCATTAAGAATATTCAGCTATATTTGAAAGTTTTTTTTTATTTTTATAATGACATGACAATTAGGACTTGCCATGTTCGATCAGTCCCTTTTATATTCTCATACAAGAGGGAAACAAATGATATCCTGTGGTCGGGAATTCTGAAGCTTAACCAGATTTGTCGTTCAGTGCCCAGAACTGTTGGGTTTCCACTTCTCACTTTCTACTTTAGCTCATTGCCCTTGCTGAAAAGCCTAGGTTGTCATCCTATACCCACCTAGCTAGGAGTAAGGCTCATTAAACACAGAGAAACTCAGCTCTGAGTAGCCATGTATACAGTTGTACTATAAATTAACTATACAGTGAATTCTTAATGAGTGACTGGACATCAGCTTCCGCACAGCAGGAGCCTACACCCATTAGCAAAGCTTCCACACTTGCCTGTTTGGGGGCAAGGAGGGATTCTTTAATATTTACTCATACATATTGTGCAGTATTATTTGCATTAAAACAACTTCTAGGGACTGCTTAATCTCAGATGACCCCACCACAGGAAAGATGCATCCTGGTTCCTAGTGAAAAAGGAAGGACAAACTATGGACATTCCAAAGACTACAAAACAAGACAAAAGCAGGAGAGGGGAAAGCAACAGCTCTTTATGGCTGACTGAAACACTGACAGACGGGAGTAGCTAGGCTGGCTCATTTCACAGAAATCACTTAGATGGTACCTGCTTATTTTGTTTCGTAACTTTCTAGGAGTGTGAAAGACTTACTTTTTATTTTATTCCGAGGAAACTCAAAAGTTTGGGCCCACTGCTTGCAGATGACAGTGAAGGCATTTGCGGATGCCAGGTTGGCAATGCCTGTCATATGTCTCTCTGTGTGTAATTGGCACAAATTGGCACCCTCCCCTCTCCTATAAAACAGCAGCCAACTGTTGGGTGGGGCAAGAGCTAAGGATAGAGCTCCCACAAACTTAGTTATTCCCTCCTTCCAATAGTAGATGAATTTCACTCTGGAGCCTCTTCCAGCCCCAATGTGTTAACTGGGGGGAGGGGAAAGAAGGTACCAAGACTCCCCATCCCAGAAACGCTTAATCATGCAGATTCTCCCCCACCCCAAACACGGCACCACCCTATATATTTTTTAACATTTAATTGAATGTATTTTTTTCTTAGGATTTAAAACCCAGCAATATAGTAGTAAAATCAGATTGTACTCTCAAAATCCTTGACTTTGGACTTGCAAGGACGGCATGTACTAATTTCATGATGACCCCATATGTAGTAACACGATATTACAGAGCACCAGAGGTTATTCTTGGCATGGGATACAAAGAGAATGGTAAGTTGCAGAACAGAATTACGTCTTGTTGGGTACTTGACCAGTTGTTAGATTTCTCTGTTTCTTGAATGTATTCTTATTTGAGAACGGTGTGTAATAGGCTTTCAAGCATCGTGGGGGTAATTGCCTGAGGCAGTGCTGCCAAGTTTTCACAGCCTAAAGAACTAGTTTTACCTTCATATCTTTTAAAATCTTCCTATGCAAAGAGAGAGGCAGCTGGTGAGGTAGTGGAGAAGGCACCGCTCAGCCACCACCAGCACTAAGCATCCTCTGAGGGAGAGGGTCTCTGAAGCAGGAGGCACTGCTGGCTAGTCAGCCTCCTTCATCCAACACCACCTCTCAGTATACAGTATGTTGATAAGGCTGTGGAGATTACCTCATCTCCTAACTCACTGGCTACAACCTATTATCTAGGTTGCCAATATGGCAATAAAAGGCAACGGTGCACGGTACTGAGTTTTTCTCTTGGTAGAGCAGAAATGTGTAATGTGTAAGCTCCCTTTTTTATGTTGCCTCCCAGATATTCCATTATAAAAATTAAACTCCAAAGGCTTATGGAGGTTTTACTAAAAAATACGCAGTCAGGAAGGAGACTATGCATATGTAAGGACCTCAATCTAGGAAACGCTAGTTCTGTTTAACACTCTTTCAAACCAGGGACTAGTTGGCTATTATTTCAGTTTAAAGAATACTGTATAAAATAGTCTGTGGTGAATTTTTTGTTTGGGTTATTCTGAATAGCTGCCATGAATGTTTAGTGTGTACTGAAAATGTGTTTGTAGATTTGTAACTTTTGTCCCTATTACACCTAACATTTAATAGTGGATATCTGGTCTGTTGGGTGCATAATGGCAGAAATGGTCCTCCATAAGGTCCTGTTTCCAGGAAGAGATTGTATCCTTTATAAGACTTTCATGGACCACAAATGAGAACAGTTGAAAATAAGACTGAAGCAATTTTTGAGGAATTGCCAGACCTGCCATAATATGGTGGCATTATATTTTTAATGCAAAATGTTTCTTCATCAAAAGTTAAAATTTGCATTTAGATTAAATGTTCTTGTCCATGTTGTTCAACAACACGTTAGCAGTTTCATTTTTTTTGCATTGTTGTGTTTTTAATGTAAAAATGTTTTTGTTTTCCACTTTAGTTCACGACACTTCATAATTTTGTCATTTCACTTTTACTTTCAGTTGATATCTGGTCAGTTGGTTGCATCATGGGAGAATTGGTGAAAGGTTGTGTGATATTCCAAGGCACTGATCGTATCCTTCCCTAATAATTTTGAATCTTAATCCACATTTACCAAAGAGTTATTTCACTCACTTATGGATGCAAAATATGCTAATCCCCTGCCCTCATCTTTTTACTGAATGGATCTGCCACGCATGTTCAAAATTTGTGATATTAACCAAGCACTTAAACTTTTATTCTCTTCTTTGTCCACATTTAACTTCGGTATTTGAACATTATTCATTCTTGTTTGGAATTTCATTTTTTTGCAGTTTTAATGGTGCTGCAAATTTCCTTGATGTTATTGGCACTGTTTAAACTGAAAATTCCACAAAATTACTGCTCAAAATTTATTGTTTTCTCTTTTTTTGCATTTCTCTGCACAATGGAAATAGTCTCACAACAGTGGTTTTGTCTTGTCAGTTCTTAATCTTATCCTGTTCTCTTCAAAAGGATAGTGAAGGCATGCAGGTTAGAAAAATATAATTCCGAATGCTTAATTTCATGAGATTTTAATGGTTGATCATGTGTTAACCTAATAACACAATTAAATAGAAGAAGCTTGAATTTTCATTTTCTCAATTTTCTCCCATATATATTATTTTATTCTCTAAAGCCTTATGACCAACCTAACACAATTCTTCATGTATGCTGTGTCTCTTTTGAGTTGCATGTTAACACTAGTTTTCATATTTGCTGTCTTCATATATCTGTGTTTCATGCTTAACAAATTTCTGTGCAGAAAATGCATCTTACTTGTTTGAGCTCCACCAATCTAGTATCTGTTTCCTCTGATCATTACGTTATATTATTGGTTAAAAGTGTTGTTTACTTGAAAGTCAATCTCAGGTGCAATCACAGTCTCTTCAGAAAACACATAATTTAATATATTTCAACCAATACTGGTACTTTTCATGACTGAGCAGAAAACTGAGAAGGGTCTTAGTTTTGACATCCTAATGCTTTCTTTCCCTCTTTATACCCATATTGTTTTCCATCTTTGTGATTGACATGGAAGCCATGTAAATAACTATTGTCCCTATTGAAATAAGCATTTGGTTGTTAGTTTATAATTTGGGTTTGCAGTCTGGTGACCTAGAAGAAAGTGGGGGAGAACCTTACTACTTGAATCTTGCTTAAAAATAATCAGGCGGTTGTTTTGTCACAGTTGTTACACGCTCTCTCTCTCTCTCTTTAAACACACACACACACACACACACACACACACACACACACAGAGTGTATTGTCAAACACTTTTCCCCCAGAAGTACGTATGTGAAAGTTTCTCCTCAGTGCTTTGGGATATTAAAAAGACTATGGTGTTCTCTGTTTGCAATATACAGTATAGATCTTAGGCACACCAAGCTATCTGTAGTACCTTATGCACTTCCTTTTTAATAATTATTAGGACCATGCAGCTCCAATTTGGGATTCTGAAGGAGGGTGAGGAATGAGAATGGTTTCTTCCATTTTAAATTTCATTTGCTGCAATTTAACAACTTGAGGGACCTTATAGAAGGCCACATTTAAAGGGACTTCCTCATTAATTTCTACTAGCAAGCACTATCTAATCATTATATTTGCATGTGGCCTCTTTGTTCCTAGATGAGAGGCACATTTTAATAATTTGGATTGGGATTATTGATACTTCTGGTGTGTGCGGTTGAAGATTTATGGTGATGCCCCAAAAACCTCACTTGATATCCGTTTCTGATTAAGCACTTGTCAGCCATGTGGAACTTGATTGTTTTCACCTACGGAGTTATTCCAAAAATATTTATTTCATATAGACTAAAGTTCTGAATGCACCAGAGAGCAGAAACTGCACAAAATTGTTGTTTTAAAATATTCTGGAATTCAGTAATGAAATACATGGTTTGTACACAGTTTTCTAAGGCTGCAGTTTTATTTCCCTGAAAGTACATCCTATTTAATTAAGTAGTAGTAACCTCTGAGTAGACATGTTTTAGGACTGCATAGTGAATTAAGGTTCTTTTTACTCTAGATTGGTGGAGTTCTTTAGTAAAATCCATTTATCTATGCAGATCAAGAAGCTGTCTTTATTTGTGCAATTTAGCATGTGATGCTTTAACCTTTTATAGTACTTGGTATCAAAATTCCATCTAAATGCATTTGATCAAGCAAGGAAAAACTGAGCAATTAGCATGTTCATCTGTACAGAACATACAGATTCTTTAAAAGGATACCTTAATGGCAGCAGTGATGTGGCTTTTTTATTTGGAAAACTACGGAAATATGCACTGTACTGTAATATATATCTTCAAGCTAGAAGTATTTTTTTCTGATGCTTTAGAGAGCTAGCTAATTTAGCATATTTTGCTTGCATTTAGTAAACAAGGCTTAACACTTTGAAATTGCCAAGCTTGTAGTTGCAATTGACATCCATTGATTGTTACTAAAGAATTTATGAAATTGAATTTTTTTTTGGCCAGCATACTAAATTTAAGCTATTGTAGTAACTAACATAGAGAATCTTATAATGGGATTTTAAATATGTTTTTCACTGTGTCTTCAGTTTAATCGTACATCTGGATTTGCCTTTATGAAGCCCACAGAAGTACGATAAGACATGATATTGGACATGTCTTCTCCTCCCAAAAAGAGAAGTATAGCTAGCCTTATATAGCCCCATAGACTGGTACTGTCATTCCAGTGCTGTGCTCTCTCAGGTTAAACAGGAAATATTGTGGATAATGTCCTCTACCATATTGGAAGAACTCATCTATTCCACTGAATTCTAGTGAGTTCTTTAAAGAAGGGGCAGGGAATTGTGAGGGTGAAATTCTGCCAAACACTTCCATTCTATAAAAGTCGGTGGAGAAAAAGTTATTGAGGATTAAAAATACTATTAAAAGCATGATCTTGCCAGTTAAAATGTACAGCTCCCCAGAAATAAATATTTGTTGGGGAGGAAGCTGCCCCAGTAGGACATGTTATTTTAGGGGTTGAAACTTAATTTTTGGAGATTTCTTCAGTGAAGGGTCTTTAAAGTATGTTTTTGGGTGTGAGGAATTCAAATCTGCTATTATTTTTCTGACTGGACAACATTTAGCTTGGTAAGTCTATATCTGAGGAAGAAGCACATAAACTGCTTTTGGAAAACCAAAGAATTATAATTTTACCTTCTGAATATGTCAGCTAATGCTAAGCAACAGCAACATAACTGCAAGTTCTTGGCAATCGTTTTTAATGATTCCAGTGTAATTCTACACACATTTTACTTACCAAGCACAGCTAAGTTATATTAATTTAATTTAACCAAAATATCTTTTGAAATTCCTAATGAGCACTCCTCATTTTTGTAAGTTGAAAAATCCAAAACACCCTGTGGAACTGAGACATTTTGATTTGGTTTTGTGCAGGGAAGAGGGGCGTAACTGAAGAAGATACTACTTTCAAGTTGATTCTGAAATTTTGTCTCCATGTACCTTTTGAATGCTTAACTTCAGGATCTACTTGGAGTACATCCTGTGACTACCTGCCAGGCAGTTATCCACATAGGTGACAAGCAGAAGCGTTTCGAAATTCCACCAGCCCTGAGTAGAAACATGCCAACAAAGTTTGGATCTAACTTGTCTCTCAAGCCATTCCCAACATGCTTCACAACCTTTTGTGAAGAGCCAGTATGGGATTGTGCTTAGAGTGTTGGACTAGGACCTGGGAGGCCAGGGTTCAAATCCCTGCTCAGCTGTGAAGCTCACTGGGTGACCTTGGGCCAGTTACAGTCTCTCATCCTAACCTACCTCACAGAGTTGTCATGGGGATTAAATGAAGAGGGAAGAGCCATGTATGGCACTTTGAGCTCTTTGGAGAAAAAGGTAGGATATAAATGCAGTAAATTAAATACATAGCTAATTCTTGTACTATTCATGCTTTTTGAGGGGGAAGGGGGAATACTTTTATTTTCCTAAATGAAACTTTTGCAGATATTGACCAGTGGAATAAAGTTATTGAACAACTAGGTACACCATCCGCAGATTTTATGAAAAAACTGCAGCCTACTGTACGGAACTATGTAGAAAATAGGCCAAAATATCCAGGTATCAAATTTGAAGAGTTGTTCCCAGACTGGATATTTCCATCGGAATCTGATCGGGACAAACTAAAAAGTAAGATTTCATGTGTGCATTATTCTTGTATTTTCATTCGTACTATAATGTACGGTAATTGTTTGGGGTGGGGGTGGATACTTTTTTCTAGTTGATAAAACAGCACATTCTTGTTGTCTGTCACTTAGCTAAATGCAGATTATCGATTTTTTAATCCACTGTTTACATTAAGCGTGTCGCTTGTATTGAGTGAATTTCAACATCCTTACTGTCTCTTGTCAAAATATCCAAGACTAAAAAATACCTTATGGTATGTCCTTGTTATGAATATGCATTTTGTACCTTACTTTTATGCTTCAGCTCTTCAGCTAACGGTCACCCCCTTTCCATTTTCTAGCCGGTCAAGCTAGAGATTTACTATCAAAAATGCTAGTAGTAGATCCAGACAAACGAATTTCGGTAGATGAAGCTTTGCGTCATCCATATATCACTGTTTGGTATGACCCAGCTGAAGCTGAAGCGGTAAGTTTACCTTTAAAGTTTATTCAAAAGAAATTTTATGGTTGATGTCACTATGGCAGTGCTACTTACCTTGGTGAAAATCTGAGGGCATATTTAGATTTCTCCTTACACTAGAAAAAGTGTTATATATGCTATGTATGTTATATGCCACAGTAATTGCAGTGCAGTTCCATAATCCCACCAAGTCCCATTTCCCAATCTTTAAGCCATCCTGTATTTTGCAGCTCTGTGGGAAGACAGAAGTCAGTATGAGAGAGTGAAGAATTTGCATTTATTTGATTCTTAAGAACTGGATAAAAGAAGAAGGGTAGAGGAGGCAGGGGGGAGAATAAACTTGTAATTCAAAAGGTTGCAGAGGCTGCCAACATCCAGTCTCCTTTAGACCTTTTTTTCCCTTCTGGGGTGAGTATGAGAGCTACCCATAAAAAAGGAAAACCTGCATTTTAGGATAACTGTGACTGGGCATCAGCATGTCTAGCAAAGAAAGAAAATAAAGGTACCAGGAAATACGGAAGTCCCTGCATCCTATAACTAGGTGGGTATTTTGGATATGAAAAACCATATGGTATATTTGAAGTGGGGGTGGGGTTTAATATTTAGAACTGCAGAATGTTTTCATGTAAAGTTAGTAGAGTACAAGGATTCTACATGCAGCTAAGCACTGGGCTTGAAATGGGAGGATGTTCAGGAAAAATGATTCCAAATAAGACCTGAGTTGGAGCATGAGCTTCTGTCTTTGCGTATAGATTGGCATACTGCTGCTAATCTCATACAGTGGTGCCTCGCAAGACGAAATTAATCCGTTCCGCGAGAGTCTTCGTCTAGCGGTTTTTTCGTCTTGCGAAGCAAGCCCATTGACGGATTAGCGCTATTAGCGCTATTAGCGGTTTAGCGGCTATTAAAGGCTTAAAGGCTTAGGGGATTAGCTGCTAAAAGGCTATTAAAGGCTATTAAAGGCTTAGCAGATTAGATAAAGGGGGGGGAAAGCGAAAAAAAATCTCAAGACTCGCAAGGTATTTTCGTCTTGCGAAGCAAGCCCATAGGGGAATTCGTCCTGCGAAGCAACTTCAAAACGGAAAACCCTTTCGTCTAGCGGTTTTTCCGTCTTGCGAGGCATTCGTCTTGCGGGGCACCACTGTATATGCTAAAATTGTGGGCTTCTCTGTTGTTTCCTATGGACAGCTCCAAATTTTACCTAGGGGAGGAAAATGGTTTAAAGGAATTTAGAAGTTCTGTGATAGTAGTGTCCATGGGAGGGAGAGAACCAGCTCCGTGACTAAAAATTCAGCAGCCTATTAAGATCATATTAGGGATGAGGTAGGGCCACTGAAATATTGCTGAGACTAAATAAGCCTGTTAACTCATGCTAGGTAGCTATAATGCCTTTTCATTAAATGAAATAAAAAGCACAGACCTCCTTTGTGGGGGTTTTTACTGGAAAATTTGACTAAATTGAGTAAAAGTTTAAAAATTGCTTATTCTGTTGAAAACTTGATCATACTCCTGTGCAAATTTTATTGCTAGATCAATTGATTTGTCAACTACGTACAATGATTGGTTGACTAAAACTCCTTTATTTGGCTGCTACGCTATTAATTGTAGCATGTACTAATCCTTGTATTCAAAAAAGCAAATCATGTGATCACAGTAGAAACTAGCTTTGATGAAAAGTTTATAAAGAGCCTTTTAAACAGAAACATTCTCTTATGCAGCTTATGTTTGTTTCAATGGAAATAACACATGAGAACTTCCCAGCTCAATAAACAATCGTTTCTTTTTTACACTTGTATTTCATCTTGGGAATTAATCTAAGTTTTGTTGAATTCAAAGACTTTTATTTTTAACCTTTTTTTGTAGCCTCCTCCTCAAATCTACGATGCACAGTTGGAAGAAAGAGAACATGCCATTGAAGAATGGAAAGGTAACCATGATTTATTATATGCTATGATGCTTGAGAACCTTTTGTCATAGATGCTTTATAAACAAAAATTAAACATAAATATGCTCTTACAGTGAAATATGACTGGGTGGTTATTTGAGACAGAGGGGTTTGCCTGAGAGTGTTGTGTCAGAACATAGTATTTGTTTCAAGATTTTAAAAAGTACTCTTGTAATTTTTCTTCTCTTTCTCTCCTCCTTCCTCTGTCATTTCTTTTAAATGTAGAACTAATATATAAAGAAGTAATGGATTGGGAAGAAAGGAATAAGAATGGTTTGGTAAAAGAACAACCTTCAGGTTAGTCATTGATGTAATAGTCTGTTTTTGTCTTCACGAGCTCTTTGTGCTGTGTTATAAATCTGTTGTCATTAACAACGGAAGTTTCCAAGTAAGTTATGTTGTTCAAATTCTTGTTCCAGTGCAGCCTGTTTCAGAATGTGCACAAACACCTAGTAATAAAATAATTGAGCTACATGGAATTATAATATTAATTTCTAGCTTAGGGGGGAAAGATGATAGAAGAAGTTGAGAGCTGTGGATGGGATGCCTTATTTTCCTGAAGCACAGGTAAGGAGCCTCTGACTCTCCAGGTGACGATGGACTACATCACACACCATCCCTCACCACTGAGGAATAAAAGTTGTGTTCTCTGTGGCTTTAAGGTTTCAGGAGAGAATAGGAAGTCTTCCCTCGTTGCTCTGAGTGACATTTGTGTCACTCGTACTGTCTCTTCTCCCAGCAGCAGGCAGATCCATCACGATGAGAAACAAAAATGGTGTGATCACATTCCATAGAACTGTAGGGGAGCAAGGTCATTGGTTTTTGAAAGGAAATTTATGGGGAACAACATCCCTCTCCTTTTTATTTTAAAGTTGTCTGGCAGTCCTGTAACAATGATGAATGGAAGCACTGTCTGGCTTGGCTTGCGGTCCCATGGAATGTAATGGGGAATACTGTAGGGGCTCATGCCTACTTGACCCTGAAAATTTAAATTTCACAAACATGTTTTCTTCATATCAATGGTGAATGCAGGCAAGACAGCAACCTGGCAGTCTCTTTGGGCATTTGCCTGGCATTATGCTAGAGACAGTGATGCCATTAAAATAGGGTGATGTTGGTGGAGATGCGCTGATGAATATTTTTAGCTGACACAATTCTACATCCTTCTCCAGGTAAGAACTTCTCACTGTTGTCATATAGGGGACTTCACAGAGGCCACAAAAAAGGAAACAGAATTCCTCTTTCCTGTAACTGCTGTTCTAGGAGACAGTACAGTCACATAGCCTTTCCCTGCTCTAGAGACTACAAATATGAAATGAATGAGTGAGGTGCTGTCCCCACTTCTTGACTGACATTTTTGGTAGCAAAAAGCTTGTCCACGGAACAGGAAAGTGTAACTAAAGTACCAGAACTCTGCAAGATTCTGTGTGCAGGTTGGCTCATGCACAAATCCAATGGCCTAATTCACATGTAATCCTTTATTTACTTATTTATTTAATAAAATCTATGCATCTCTTGATTGTAAATTAATGTCAGATATTGCACATGTTTGCACACAATGCCAGGCCTACTCAGGTGTGAGTAGCAGCAATATTGATTTCATTTCAATAGCAACCAAACTTGGCAAAAGCAAAGCCACACTTGACAGAAATCCGCTTCCCAACTATGTGGGAGCAGAAGGATGGCAGGGAGTATGTAAGCCCAGCTTCCTCTTGCTCATGGAAGCTAGTTCACCATGGCCTGGCATTACGAGCAATATTTGAGATTAATTTTCTGTGCAAAATTACAGGTAAGTACAGCACTATGGTTCTGTTGTGAAAATTAAGTGCACACAGCGTTGCTTCTAACATTGGCCCAACCTCACAAAAACAGAGTAGGAAGCAAGCATGAACTGCCCATCACTGATAAGTCAAAGCAAGGTTTGGTAGTTATTCGGCAGACTACAGCAGTTTGCTTTCATCAAGTGAAAATGAAATGTCTACATTTGGTAGGTAGAAAGCAAATGTTCATATTTGAGAAATGATCACATAGGTTCTTCATTTACCCTTTTGCTCAGTGCATTTGATAGAGGCATTGATTCAATGTAGAGATTAATTTGGGGGCCAACACATTTGTATTTAGATTATTTATTTCTAATTGTTTCTAATTTACAGTTTTTGGATTATTATTTTTAGAAATTGATTTTTATTTTTTTATTTTCTTTTCTTTATATATATATTTATTCAAAGTTATAACAAAACATATTTTCCAAAAACATATCCTCATTCCCCCCCCCCGTTTTTCCTCCCCCCTCCCCCCCACCCAAAACCCATCCTCCCACCCCACCCCCCGACTTCCCTCAGTTCCAGTCTTTGGTTTCTCCAATAACGCTATTTTCTGCATGTTACAGAATTGTGTAGATCTTCAAACTGTTTAGCTAATTATTATCAGTAAAAAAAATTGTGAATGTTTATTCAAAACCTGCCAAGGAGTCCAGTTCACTTTGTTGCGTCTTCAAATACTTTGTAAAAGGTTCCCATTCATCCTTAAAGTCACAGTTATCCTTGTCCCGTAACCTATATGTCAGTTTTGCCAGTTCTGCATAGTCCATCAATTTTTCTTGCCATGATTCTTTAGTTGGGGTTTCTTCAGTCTTCCATCCTTGTGCTACCAGAACTCTCGCGGCCATTGTCGCATACATGAAGATGTTTTTCAACTTTTTTGGCAGGTCTTTCCCTACAATCCCCAACAAAAAAGCCTCAGGTTTTTTAACAAATGTTAAATGGAACATTTTCTTCAATTCATTGTAAATCATTTCCCAAAATTTTTTAATTACTTTACAATCCCACCACATATGATAAAATATTCCCTCCTTTTCCGTACACTTCCAACATATATTTGAACTAGTTTTGTATATTTCCCCTAACTGCACTGGTGTTGTGTACCATCTGTACATCATCTTCATGTAATTCTCCTTCAATAGGGAGCAATCTGTAAATTTTAAGTCAGTTTTCCATAATTTAACCCAATCTTCCATCATAATGTTGTGACCTACATCTTGTGCCCATTTAATCATAGCTGATTTTACCTCTTCATCTTTTGTCTCCCATTCTAATAATATGCTATATGCGGCCTTCAGTAGTTTCACTTTCCCTTCAATCACTTCCGTTTGAAGCCTAGATCTAGTATAACTAAATCCTTTCTTACTGTCTTCTTTATATGTTTCATGTAGTTGTCGATAATGCAACCAACTCTGAAAGTGGTCTTTGATCTCATCATAATCTCTTAATTTCCATTTTCCCTCATGTTCCTTTAATAAATCAACATATGTGAGCCATTTTCCTTTCTTTCCAAGTGGTTTGAGCAATAATGCTTCATGTGGTGAAAGCACCACGGAGTCTTTTGTTCCAATAAGTCTTTATATCTCTCCCATACTCTCATTAATGATTTCCTAATTATGTGGTTGTAAAAGCTTCTATGAATCTTCCCTTTCCCATACCATAAGTATGCGTGCCAGCCAAATCTGTTGTCATGTCCTTCTAGTTCTAATGCCTCTTGCTTGTCCAATCTCATCCAGTCCCTGATCCATACCAAACAAGCAGATTCGTAATACAATTTAAGGTCTGGGAGGGCAAACCCGCCTCTATCTTTTACATCTGTAAGTATTTTATGTTTTATCCTTGGCCTTTTGCCCCCCCAGATAAATCTGAAAATCTCTTTCTGCCATTTTTTAAAGCATTCATCTTTCATGATGACTGGTATAGATTGAAAAAGAAATAACATTTTTGGCAACACATTCGTTTTAATTGCTGATATTTTTCCTAATATTGAGAGATTCATTCTGCTCCATATTTCTAAATTTCTTTTTACCTCAAGCCAGATTTTTTCATAGTTTTTTAAAATAGGTTTATATTTCTTGATGTTAACCAAATCCCTAAATATTTAACCTTTTTATGGACTTCAATCTCAATGTTTTGTTCTAATTCGGTTCTTTCTTCTTCCTTCATGTTTTTAACTAATAATTTAGTTTTATTCCTATTTAGAAATTGATTTTTATTACCCTGACCAGATGGTTATGAATCCTCTGGAGCAGTATAGTGGCCTAGAATTGCAAACCATGTCCCCCTTTTCCTAGCAGGAACCTCCAGTGGATCTGCCTCTTTTACAAATGGAAGGGGCTCTTCCATTTATAGAGAGGCACACTAGATCCAATCTATTGTGGAGTAATGGGTGATATTTTTTAGAAAACAAAGATTTCAAACATATCCAAAGGAAGAAACTGAAATTTCATTTTCGTAAGTGTGTACACTCTGTCATTCCCAACATACTGGCTACATGTTTTCATTTGTTCAAAAGTACAGGGCTTTTGCTTCCTATAAAATATTTGATGCCCTTGAGTGGACAGCTTGCAGTATTGCATATATATACACTCATTTAAGAAATACCACGGTAAGCGATTTGTGTTTGGAGAAAGAATACTATAAATCCTAAAATATCATCAATTTGTTTGATTTGATACAATATTTGTATTCCGCTTTTCTGACAACAAGTGTTGAGTTCAAAGCAGCTCACAATAATCCCAAGAGGATTGCGGGGGGGGGGGGGGGAGACCATTGTAAACACTATAATATCAAACACAGAAGCACATAAATAACACAAACCACAATAAATTCACCAGAACAATGAATACAATTCCGTAAAATCTATGGTTCCAGCCATGTCTTGCCTCAGATTTTCTTATGCTTGGTTTACTTAGCACAGATGCAGCAGTGAATAGCAACACCAGCCCTTCCCAGTCATCATCTATCAATGACATTTCATCCATGTCGACAGAACAAACATTGGCTTCAGACACAGACAGCAGCCTTGATGCTTTGACAGGAACACTTGAAGGATGCCGGTGATCAGCTTTGCAGATTTAACATTGGCAAAGAACTTTTGCTTCTGTTGGGCCTGAAATGCTTGTAAGTTTATGGAACCAAGTCAAGAAACTCCATGTTCTGCATGTTTTTTTTTCCTAAAGTAATGCCTGTGATTTTACTCAGTTGAAATAAGACTATCTGCTTAATAGTGTAAAATGAAAGCAACTTCATATTTCGGGTCGAAACAAATATTACTATACCTATTCTGATTTAACCTACATCAGGTGAGCAGTTAGAGTAACTCGAAGCTCTAATGAGTTCATGGGCATTCTGTCAGACATCTGAAACGTAATCAATATAAATTTCAAAGAGAAAGAAGAAGAAAGCCATTGTAAGTGGCGTTGAATGTATATCTTTACAATTACATACATTTGCTATATTAGTGTATCTTGCTGGTATTTTCAGTACTGTAAAATATAGAGGCAGTTGTTTACCTACATAGCATTCTTTTCTCGGGGCCTTTACCTCTCCACCTCCTAATTTCTGTACTTTTCTATAGAAGAAGCAAACTTGTGAATTCTTGCTTCATCTTTACATCTGAATGTAACTCTGCTTCTCTGAATGTGCTCTTTCAGTGCTTTCATTTCAAGGGGTAAGGTGGAATAAGCAAAACGTGCCATGTGGGAATTTTTCTTAATTCTTGCATGCATTTATGCATTAGTGTGTCTTTTGAAAATAAGATTTTTGGGGTCTTTAAAGCAGTTTATAAAACACTCTTAGAAACCTTGACCCTTTTTTCATACTCTGGCATTTCCATGGAAAACTTGATTAACAAATGGGGGCATTCAAAGGGGTTGGAGGCCTACCTTGATCCTTTGAATAGACATTAAAATATCTGCTTTTATGGTCTGTATATTAAAAGGGATCTTTACTCCCTATGTATAAATAACTACATCTACATCCAGAATGAATAGAAACTTCTAAAAGAAAGTGAAAGGGGCTATTTTAAACACTGAACCGTATGAAAAGGACTACATTTATTATACATAATTGTGTGTCCCCCGCCCTCTTTCTCTGGCATATTCCAAAGGCAAACACCAGTCTGACATGATTCAGTTTCTTTCTAGCTCTAAAAAATTGTAATTCGTCACACCTTGAGCTTGAGTTAAAACTATTCACCTAGGGTTTAAAATAAAAATGTTTATGTGAATGTGTAGGTGGGTTGCCAGACTAACACTTTGTATTAGATATGGTGGGAGGAACAAAGTTATGAGACAATCCCAGGTGGTGCAACAGGCTTACTGGCAAGCTCTAAACAATGCAGATTTCTGGCTTGGTGATGGACATCTGTTTGTTCCACTGAAAACCAAAGTCAGACTATATATGCCATCGTTCTGCTCTGGCACCAGCACTTTACTAACATCAAAATCTGATGCAAGATTACTTGGAAGTATGTCCTAAGGAATTCAGTGAGGTCTACTCCTAGGTGAGTGAGTATAGGATTGCAGCCTAAGTAGATGTTTGTAGGATAAGCACTCTCAGGCAATGGTCCACAAATACATTTTAGAGTAGCTCTATCATGTTGCTGCATTTGCTGCTACAGACTTCTCTTTGAATTTGCTCTTAGGGTTTTCCAGATGTGCATGTAAATTTATTGCTATCTTTTCACTTGAGACTTCTGGCTGAACATGAGAACTGCCTCCCTTAAATATTGTGCTTGAGATGCGAGATGGTATGAAATATGTTTGTGGTAGCTATTTATTATGTGCACCTGCCAGCAGCTGATGAATTGCTAAGTGATACATTTGCGTATGAGTTGATTCTTGGATGAATGGATTGCCCCGATCCAGAGTGCTTATTCAGGTATGTCATTCATTTCAGTAGAACTTAATTTCAGGTGTGTTATTAAAAATAAAACTTACAGCTTTAAAGAGCCCCTGTAAAACTGTTGGCCAGGATCCTAAGAACCACATGCACATTATGCGCCCCCCCCCCCGCAATGCATTGGTCGTCAGGGTACCTGACTTTCAGGAGTGATTTTTCTAAGGTTCAGTCCCAGTGCACAATTAAAACTAGGTGTGTAAACCTTTGGAACCTGGACATAATTTATAATCTAATACAGGCATCTCCCCCACTTACATGAGTTCTACTCACGTGCGACTGCTTGAATGCATAGCGCTGGTAAATAAATAAATGAATAAATAAATAAATAAATAGAATCATACCAGGAAATGGTGGAAGAAAGCTGTAAAGTCCTTGTGACACACGAGGAGATCCTCTCCGGATTCCGAAGACGATGTCACTGAGGGTGGAAGAAGCCCCGAAGAGACCTGATGTGCAGCAGGGTTTTGTTAGGCTGCTCAGCCTCCCCATCTAACAGCTGGTAGCACAGCCACAGCTACTTCCCTGTGTGGCCTTCAGCCTTCAACCAGCCCCAGAGCTTTAACTCTAGTTGAAGAGAGAGTCGTGTGGAGAGTGGGAGAGAGAGCTAGAGAGCAGGGGGAAATAGGCATTTAGAGTCTTTTCAGAGGGTGCTTCCCACTTTATGTGATTTCACTTATGCACGTGGGTGCCCAGAATAAGCCCTGTGTAAGTGGGGGGATGCCTGTACTTGTATAGCAGGATCCATATGGATGGTACTTGGGACAGGTTGGTGTCCCAAATTAACACTCAGCAGTGGGGAAAACAGCAGAGGAACATGAGGGAAGAAAGAGACGATTAGCAGGGAACAAGTGAAGGAATAAGTTCTAGACTAAGAGTTCAAGTTGTTTGACATCTTGGCCGCCCAATCTTGATTCATAATGTTGTCTGACATTCTACTGGCTGTGAATGTTGAAATGACTTCCTACTAAATCTCTATACCTAAAGATGTAAAGTACACAAAGAATCCTCCACAGACAAGAAAGAAAATTACTCCTTTTTAAAAAGTATCAATGCATAACTATGGCATTATTTTTCATTCTATAGTACATCTGCAGGGTGAGAGATGTAGCCTTCCTCCCATTGGGTTTGATACAACTCAGTGTATTTAACAAAAAGTTGAATAAGGAGGTGTTGCAGAGCAACTCTGACTTGCTTAAAATAGCATTTTTATTAAGCTATTCTTTGAAGAGAGTCTAAATTATCGATTATACTTACAAATAGAAAAATAGAAATCTATGTTTTAACTAAGAGTGTATGCTTCAATGTGTGCTTAATAAAAAAGAGGTTTCCCATTCATATGCAGATTTATCCCAGTATAACTTAATTAAGTGATGACAAACTAGTCCTAAAAATTAACGTCACTGTAAATAGTGTTAATGTATGTTAGTTTTATAGGATTTAAATCTTTCAAAATGTACATTGTACTTCCAGAACCACTATGAAAATATTTTCATAAATGTTTGTAAATGTGGGGCGTTCAAGGATTATGTCTGTATGCTTTGTATAAAATATCTAGTAACTGGAGCATTCTTTTCTGAATGTGCTGTACTGCAACAGAGACTGGGCTCTGTTTCATGCTTCAGCGTTACCTTAGGAGTATCACACGAAGTTTTCCCAGGTGGGGAAGGGGTGGGTGGGGCAGAAATACGCAAGGAGTTCTGTGAAGGCTGTGACACTGGAGCTATTAGAGCAACCAGAGGCTTGTGCTTCAACAGTGTGAGGAGCAACTAGTTCAGATCACAGGAATTCAGTTGTCCTGATTTGGTTGGGACAGCTTGTTTTCTGGAGTCTGCCCTGTCAAAATGTCTAGCCATCAACATTGCTGTTTTTAAAGAAGCCGTCCTGGGTTGAGCTGCTCTTGAATGCTAAGTGTCTGGAGGAGGGAGACGGCCGTTGTTCAGTGGTGACAGAAAGGCATTCTGCACATGCTAAGAAATACTTTTAATATCATATTCTAAGACTCATCTCTAATATTGAAAAAAGGAAACATGGGTTGAGCTCTGGTGACTCTTTGCATCAGTTTGGTAACAAGGGAGAGCTTGCCTATAACGAGAAATGGAAAGGAGGGGACACACACAGTTGTGGGGAAAAACATTTGTGAAGAACTTGTTGCTGAAAGGAAAGTGAAGAGAACAATTACTGGATTGAAGTGTGGAGGAGAATGGAATGTTCTGGTTATAGCTTACTGGCAGCAAAAGTGAAGTTTGTGCTTAATTTTTATATAGTGTTGGGTGAGATACGTCATGTTCATGATAAAGCAGCCTTGCATCACTGTCTAAACACATACTCTTAAGTTTGGGAATAAAAAAGATGGCCACTTTTAAAAGCTCTTGTAACACTTTTCTTCAATATAATGTTTTATAGGGCTTAGTTCTCTCAAGGGGGCAAACCTGGGCTGTACCACTTCAGACCAGAGCTGGCAGCTTACATGACTGGGTGGTCCTTCATAATTTATAATAAGCCTTCACATAGAATGTCAAAGAAATATAGTTAACACGCGCACACACGTCTCTGCTCAGGTAATATTTTCACCAACTTAGAAGTACTGTCACTTTGTCACCTAGCATCTCCACTTTTTCCTGTTCTTATTTTAAAATACGCTAATTGTAATATTTCATTCTCTTGTAAACTGCCTATGTCAAAGGGACGAGACGCGGTAAATCAGTGGTGGAGAACCCCACCCCCAGGTCCCAGATGCAGCCCCTCCTGCCTCACTGCCTGCCCCGTGCAATTCTTCCTGGGTCAGGCCCCATCCCAGGCCATGCCTCTCGTTGGCCCTGCTCAGTCCTGCCTTGAGCGCTTTTGCTTGGCTAGAATGTTTCCTTGAACTGTGACAGTGCCTCTTGCTTGCCTGGATGGAGCAATGTGTGGGTGCAAAAGCCTCTGACTTTTGCAGGGTCGGAATGTAACTTACTGTACAAAGATCAGAATTGCTCCTATTGTGCCACCCACTTTTGCCCATCCACCACTGTCTTATAGCCTCTGGAAGGTTATGCATGAAGGAATGCACCCCTGCAGTAAATGAGTGAGATACATATTTGCAAACTGTTTTCTTCTAGTACAGGTAATGTTATTCCAGTAAATCAAGTGATAAGGTTATTTTTTTTTACCAGTTTCATTACCGAAAGGTAGAGCTAACATAAGTATGGGGCAGACAGTGGGAAAACATGACCCAGTGGGCCACTTCCATAACTTTACTAGTTAGTGCTGTGGGTTAAACCACAGAGCCTAGGGCTTGCTGATCGGAAGCTCGGCGGTTCGAATCCCCGCGACGGGGTGAGCTCCCGTTGCTCGGTCCCTGCTCCTGCCAATCTAGCAGTTCGAAAGCACATCAAAGTGCAAGTAGATAAATAGGTACCACTCCGGCGGGAAGGTAATGGCATTTCTGTGTGCTGCTTTGGTTCGCCAGAAGCGGCTTAGTCATGCTGGCCACATGACCCGGAGCTGTACGCCGGCTCCCTCAGCCAGTAAAGTGAGATGAGTGCCGCAACGCCAGAGTTGTCCGCGATTGGACCTAACGGTCAGGGGTCCTTTTGCCTTTACCTTTACCTTTATCATTATCTTGTATCTACAGCAGCTTCAAAATAGATAATTCTAGCACTTACTCAATTAAGAATCCAGAATCTATATCTATTAATTATGTATTAGGACTAAACCTGAAACCTAAATTTGCACATTGGTCTTGTTGCCACAAAAGAATGTAAGTATTATATAACATGGATTCAAACTTATCCATGCTATTTTTAAAGTTCTAGCAGTGGAGGCTAATTCAGTTAGGTCATTTCTTCCTACAATTTAGATCAAGTTTATGCCTTTAAATATTTTCTGTCTTCTGTAGTTTGGTGTGTTTGAGCCACTTAAATGTTCACCTTTTTAAAAGCTCTTTATGTGTATATGTAATCAATTATGGCTGTCTTTCAATAACAAAACCCCATCATGAGACTACTATAGCATGCTCTGGCAATACTGTGAAATATTTAAACCGCCATTCTTTGTCAATAGTTCTACTTAACTGCTCACCTGAAAGGGAGAATGAAGAAAATTGGCTATTAAATGTTGAGATTTTATATTCTACATATTTCTTTAAACACAATACTGAGTAGCTGAATGGCATTGCAGAGATGGAGTAGATGTAAAAACTGTTTTTGCATGTACCCTTGTCATTTGTTCAGAACATTACGGAAATTAGAAGCAACCCATTCTCAGTCTGAATTGTTTGTAGAAAGTGTTTTGAAGAAATGATTTTGTGTGAACATGCATATTTATGATTAATTATATAAAGAGAGGCACGTATCTGCACAGATCATACCAAATAGATAACAGCTGCTTTGGTACGTTTGGGGAAGTGGCAAAAAAGGAAATTAACAGAGGGTTCTGCCTACCTTAAATGTCCATAATATTACAATGTAAGTATGAAAAGAGAGTCAAGTCACTAGTGCTTTTTGCTGATTCCTGTAATGTGTGGAAGAGTGCTTCCTGCGTGCTTAGGTTTATACACAGCCTCTGAAATAGTGTCATTTTCTATTCAGTAAAACTAAATTTATCAAATAGTTCAGGCTGGTTAAATCTAATAACAAGGGTTTATTTATGTACCCGAATGTTTACTTTTGGGCTAACCTAGGCATCTGCATGTGTTCTATTTGGTGTTGGGTTTAAAAACAACACAGCTGTACCCTCACGGATCCATCCTTTCAAGTCCTGTGTTTCAGCATGAGCTGCTTAATTTTAAACTCATTTTTTTACTGTTACAGGTTTACATGATTTTCTGTGGAATGTATGAACTTCCGAGTAGATATGGGGAGCCCACGGCTCTCCATATGTTGTTGGATTGCAGGTCCCATCATCCCTGCCCCTTGGCCATACCATCTGGGGTGGCGGGAGTCCAACAACATCTGAGGGCCACCAGTTCCTCATTCTTTGCTTTTGAAGGAGGGTCTAGGATCCAGATTTCTAAGTTAGGTGAGCCCAGTAGACCTTTTTACTCTTATTTTCCTTTGAACACCACACCATGGGCCATATCACAAACTGGTTTTGAAACTCTCTTCAGTTTCAAGAGAGACTTGCCATGTGCTGTGGGAGGGGGCTGCTCTGAAGCTCCTTGGGGCATGTGGAACTAGGTGTATGGTTCTTTGAATTTAGGCTCAAGGTAATTAAGATGTAGGAAGAATGGATCTGTAGTTTTAGGCTACAGCTTAACACCCCAGGAGTTAAGCGGGAAGATAAGTATGCAGTTTGCAAATTTTGTGCTAGGTTGCACTAAAAGCTGCAGTATCTAAATTGAGATTGGTTTTTCGAAACAGAATTGGTGGTCATAATAATGTGCAAGATGCATGCTGGATAGCATTCCTTCTAAATATCTGGAATTTATTCCTCAAGTGCAGAGGCATCCTTCTTGACCATGCCTCAGAAAATACTGGTCCAGTCTTGGCAGCAATACAGTCATACCTCGGGTTGTGAACGCTGCGGGTTGTGCATTTTCGGGTTATGGACCGCACCAAACCTAGAAGTACCGGAATGGGTTACTTCCGGGTTTCGGCACTCGCGCATGCGCAGATACACTAAATTGTGCTTTGCACATGCGCAGAAGTGCCGAATCGCATCATGCACGTGCACAGACGCGGCGCTGCAGGTTGCGAATGCTGCGGGTTGCGAACATGCCTCCTGCACAGATCACGTTCACAACCCAAGGTTCCACTGTACAGTTTATGTAGGGAACTGGATTGTAAAACTGAGGTGCCGAACTGCAAGCTTAAGAAAGGCTGATCAACATTTTGTAAATTCAGTATGAACGTTGTCTGTAAAATTCTGCACACAGATGAAGTCAGTGTATGTAGTATGGAATTGATCAGGGCTTGATGCTACATTTAGTGATACTGTTGGAGCTAAATGTTTTCCTGGACATGTGTGTACTTGGATAACATACTTGAAGTTAATGTGATGTGCACATCTGCTTCCAGAGACAGAACTTGGAGTCAGGTTAAATTCCCTCAGCTGACTTGCCTGATCTTTAATTTCATAACTTCACCATCAATGTTGCTGAGATCACTTTTTATATGTTGCGGTATGAAAAACAGTGAACCAAAATTATAAGATAATTTGTTTAGATTCTACTTTTAATACCTTTATGTATTATTATTTTTTAAATTTTATGCTTGGTATGCATGTTGAGAATCTCTTGTGCTAAAGAATTACAAGCTATCTTCTCATATGAACAAAGCAAAAGGAAAACACATGTTCTCATTTTTAAACTATAAAACAATTGTATTTTATTTTTATAATTGTAATTCTGATTGTGGATTTCACTGCCATTAACTCATTGTGCATATTGTAGATAAGTCTGGGTCCTATATTTCAATACGTATATGAATTTGTAAAAATAAAGTAGAAATATACTACTTGGAAGTAGTAAATTAATTGGTTCCTTAATTCATTTGATTCTAATGGTTCCAAAATTGAAAAGAAAATGTACTTAAGGTTCAAATTGTGTATTTAAGATTTTAATTTTTACTTTGTCATGCTGCTGCTTAATTTTTCTGAAAGAGTGCCTGCATTTTTGCACAGCAATCTGTTTTGTTAATTGTTTTTTTTAAAGCACTTTAGGGCTCTTCTAAACACAACCATGCCTCCTCTCTCATCACACAATCTTTACTTATTAAAAGTGTTTGGAGTTGATGCAGTCCAGCACGAACGCAGTAGCTGCTTACGTAGGGATCTCCATAATGCATATGAGGGAAATTTTCCTCCTCTCCCCTCTGGTGCTCATCTATGGGTGCATATATAGGCCCTGCACTAGCGTGTAATGGGAGATTAGTGCTTTAACATTCATCCCTTATGATCATCTAATGTATTCCCTCTGGTCAGTCAAAAAATGAAAGCTTGGAGCCAGATACTTCTGCCCAAGTAAAGCAGGAGGGCTAGATGGGATGTGGAAGGTTTGTGTTTCTGTGCACCCACGTACCCCAGTTACCTGTAACAGCCTTGCCTGCCGACTGTCCATAATCTTTTACACGTGCTGTGGAAAGGTTGGGAGAAACAGGCTCATATGTCAGCAGGGATCACACTGTGTGTTGCTGCGCCTGTTGTGGACTGAATTAATATCACTGTAGTTAGGGCTTCTGGGGAGGAGACTAGTTTAAACCAAGATATTGATTTTTTAAAAAATAAAACTATTTTTAAACATTTTGGATGTGCATTTTTTTTTTTTTTGGCTTAAAAGTTAGTGTACTTTAATGTCAGGTGGAAATAACCCTGAAATAGAAAGCTGAGTTTCAAAATCCATAGCTAAGTGCTTTTTCAAACTGTCCAAGATCTGTGTACACTTGGCTGTGAGCTTGTTAAATTAATGGGACTTAAGTGCATTATGTCTTTCTGGATTAGAAATTACTGCTAGCAATCAGGTTCTTCATTAGATTTTTTTAAAAAATAATTTTTGGCTATGCATCATAAATTAGCTTTCCAGTATTTATACTATGAAAGTACCCAGATAAGCTTGCAGGAATCAACCCTTGAGCATGCTAGACAGGCAATTTATATAAAATGTATACAAAGATGGGATCCCATCTCAGTGAGAAGCCCTGGTTCTGTCCATAGTCTTTCTCTCACAAGTATGCATATTTTTTTTTGCAGATATAGGGCTTTAGTGCTGCACTATGTGCCTTAGACTGAAACACAGAGGACAGCTTAATCATCTTTCTCCCATTCATAATGAAGGTGAATTATGTATGTTAATGATGGCCATATTTGACTGCTGTAGAAGTGCACATGAGAAATGAAGCTGTACCCTTTCCACTTTTTCATAGCAGATGCTACTGTGAGGTGCTATCATCTTTTAGGGGAAACAGTGGTGACTGAAACAAAAAAGAAATGTGCACAATTTTGTAATGAATTTTTGATGCCTACATGAATTTTTTCAACAAGAATTGGCATAGCAATATGGTTGACATTTTTATATGCATATATTTTTAAATGGTTGTTGGTTTATGTTTAGCTATTGTCCTTTTCCAGAGTGTTTGGGTTTTCTTTACAAAAAGTTATTGTGGAATACTGAAGGAAATGTAGATTTCTACAAACAAAAAAAATGCTGTTTCCTCTTCTGGGTCTTTTACTGGGTAATGCATGAAACATTTTTTCAAGGGCCAAATGTAACTGTTAAATTCAAAAGTCAATGAAGTATTTAATTAAAGGCAATACACAAAGCGTATCAGTCTAGCCAAACTTTTGAATAAAAACCTTAGGTGAACTTTTGAGCATTTTTCAAGTATCCCTCCTCTTAAAACTAAAATATTATATTGTGGTAGATCCTCATTATTTTTTCTAGAATGACTCCAGTGGTTTCCAGAGGTTGATTCACACAACCTTAAGACTGTTTGTGCTGATTACATTTTTCAAGTGTTTGCAGTGCTATGCTAAACCAGGAGTTGCTTCACTATGTGTGTGTTATCGCACTGTAGTAACTCGGCCACATTACTGTGGTTTGAAAGCTCCAAAAGCTGATGTGTGAATCAGCCTGAAGACTTGTGTTGCCACTGAAGTTAAACTGTAGCCACACTGGTTGAATTTGGCAGTCCTGTGCTAACAGATGTTATAGTTAGCTGTTCCCCTAGTTTCCAGTAACTTTAAACAATCCAGCTAGATTTTGGCTTAGGGCAGAATGTTTTGGAACTTCCATTGTACAAGCCCAGTCAAAATGAGTAAGCTGTTGGTGGCCTTCATTGATTTAAATGGCGCTTACATCGAAGGTCCCAGTACATTATGCCTGTAAAATGCGTAGGTGAACTATTGGAGAGCTCTCCATTAAAATATTGTTTTTAACAAACAGCCTTAAATTGTTTCCTCATATCTGCATTTTTATCTTTCAGATTTCCCCCATAAGCCTTTGTTTTTACAATATTGTTTATTCCCTGTAAAACATGTGCTGCGATGTATGTGCCTGTATTCAAGTGATTTACATATACAAATTATCACAGAAAAATGGCATCAAGCCCTAATATCCTCACCATGTTTGGAGTCTCGGGTCATTTATTGTGTCAGTTTGAAATGTGCTTTCAGACTAAACCTTTGAAATCTCAGTGTATTGATACATCAAATGACCTCTTCTGTGTACTAAATGAGGCTCTTGACACATTTCATTCTTGATGCTTGTGCAATGTTCTGTGGAAAATGGAAGTGAATTATTTTATATCATGGCTACTTCAACAAGATTAGATGCCTCCCCCCTCAGAACTCGACTTTTGAAAATAATGTTATTAATAGTGAATTATTAAGTGTTAGCTTTTAGTCTTATTTTAATTTGGGTTTCCATTTCTCCCCAATAGTCTTGTCTTTCAACATCTATATTAAAGCCACTGTAAAAATGAAATAAATGTGGACAAAATGTATATAAGAATTCTGGCTTGCTGGTTTTTGTGTCTCAACATGAGTATTTCTAGACTTCTTTGGAGTGGTGGAGGGAAATATGGATAATCTTGGAAGAGCAATTTTAAGTTGAATAAAAAGATAAGAGCAAAATATTTTTTTAAACCACTAGTTGGGTGGAGGGGAAACCTCAGAGGTGGTGTAGATGATTATTAGAATACTGCAGGATCATGTGAAACAGGAAAACTACAAATGCCATAATAATGCCACTGTGGATATTTAGGCACTGTGGACATGGCCGGTATCATCTACATGTGATGTTCTTTCAGGCCCTTGTTGCTTATTTTGCATTTAAAGCAAGCAAAATTATTGACCATCTACAACAGGGGGAGCTAATCTGTGCTATCCAGATAATCTGTGAACTCCCAACATCAGCCAGCATGGCCAGTAGTCAGGTTTTATGGGAGTCATAGTCCAGCAACATCTTGAGGACACATGGGTTACAAAAATTAAAAACCACTTCTAGAAACCTTTTCCTTGTCTATCCTTGCTTGAAATATAAAACAGGAAAGCAATGTTTTGTTTCTGGGGCAAGGTTTCCAGTTACACACAGGTTTTTAAAGTTAACAGAATTGGTTACAAATGGATAATATTAAGGTATTCTGTAGCATAGGCCAGTACACTTAAAAACTCAGTAGGGAATTGCAGATCTTTGAAATGACAATAATGGGTTTTAATTTATTGAACCTCTACATTCCCCAATAATTTTTTATGATGCAAAGTTTGTACCCAGTTGGATTTCATAGTTGCATTTTGTATAATTTTTGGAGGGGGTAGGGGTGGACAACCCTCTTCTGTATTATAACTAAAAGAACTTTTTGCTATACGAGTTCTGTTCTGGAAAATAATATTTTTCGTTCCAGTGTGGTTCTCTGCATGAGAGGTAGCTTTTCTGGATATATAGCATTCCACCATCCCCAATCTTCGTAATAAAGAAGGCTGTGTACCAGTGGCTAATGCTGTGGACCAGGAATGCCACATGGAACATTCATTTTTATTTTACTTTGTTAAACTTATCCCACTTTTTTTCCATCCTTGAACCCAAAGTATACATGTGGTTCCCACTTAGCCAGTCACTGAAGGAACCTAGAACTTCTTAGCTTCAGCAAGGCGGTGGCCTCATGTGCCTTCAAACTATGCCTTGTTCTTACATTTAGGTCCCTGAATATATCCCCTCCACCACTGTTCTACCTGACTTCCTTCTTGGCAATGGCAGCTAGTAACCACTGGAGCTGGTAGGACAGTCAAGTGGGTCAATGGAGGCATGGCTAATTTATTCCGGTTTTCTCCCCATCCTCCTTTGCAAAGATACTGTGAACAGGTAAGCAGATTTCCTCCTGAGTTTGCCTGCCTGCTTGCCTCCTCCTCCTTTTGTCTTTATTTCCATATTATAATTATTCTAAGGAATGGGAAGTGGTGAGATAAGAGGATCTGTCTTGTCTTTCAGTATACACCTCTAAATGATTGCCACACAGTTTGGTGAATGGGTCTTCATTCTCTTTATCCATGTTGCCCATCATTGCAGTAATACAGATAGCAGACTATACCCCATGTTATGGGATTGTCCCCTGGAAAGAAAAAAAAAGACCTCCAAAATTTAAAATCTCCAGAATTTAAACTCTCAAAGGATTGTTTTTTAATTAAAAGTAGAAAGTTATATTAAGAAGCATTCAGGGTTCAAAAACTTTCATGCATCTGAAACTCAGTAGGGCTGGTGCCTGTCTTAACTTCCTGGGGGAAGGAGTGCCATAGAGTTGGACCCTTGAAAGCGTAACTCCTCTTTGACATGAGTCATGCTTCTGGCCCATAGTCATGCTCTCCTGGATGACCTCAGTGGTTAACTTGGGATGCTTAGGGTAAGGAGATCCCTAAGGTATCGTGGGCCTCAGTTATTCAGGGCTTTGTACACGAGTACAAGAGCTGTGAACCTGAAAATGGAAAGTCAGTGCAGGTCTCTTAGTAATCAGGGCTTGATTGTTACCAAAGCATGAACTACAGCGTTCACATTACCCCTATCCAGGAATGGCTGTAGGTGACATATCAGCTGAAGCTGATAAAAAGCACTAATAGCCACAAAGGCCACCTGAGATTTAAGTGACAATGGTGGTTCAAGCAGCATACTCAAACTATGTACAGTACCTGCTCCTTCAGAGGGAGTGCAACCCCATCCAGGGCAGGTAATTGGGCCTGCATCCCAGATCAAAGAACTACCTACCCATAAGTCCTCTGTCTTCCCATAGTTCAGACTCAGCCCATCACTGCATCCAGGCACTAGTCCCAGTCTTTCACTGCTGCTCCTAAATCACATGCAATGGAAAAACCGAGCTGAGTATCATCAGCATATGAACGGCACCTTGTTCCAAAACTCCAAATGACTGCTCTCATTGGCTTCATTTAGTGCTGAATAGCATTGGGGATAAAAGAGTGCCTTGTGGGATCCCGTAACGTAACTGCCGTGGGCCCGAGGAACATTTTCTCAGTGCTACTTTCTGGACACAATGTTGCAACTAGAACCAGTGCTGCCCCCACCCCAGATTCATGCCACAGAGCCAATCCAGCAGCCTGCCATGGTCAATGGTATCATAGTGTGTAACCCTGAATTCTGCATTAACTGTTTGAATTAAGCATTGCACAACATACTTTACAACATATAGAAATATTTTAAATTATAAGCAAGAAGAATCCTATATAATCATAGTATGTTATATTGCTCTGAAAAGTCCAGGATTTCCAACTTTTACATTTGGATGTAGTAAGAAAATGGGAGTGGTGGCAGCAGGGGAGCCAGAATCAAGGCCAGTCACTCCCTATAAGCTCTGGCCAATTTGCTCTGTTATCTTTCCTTCGTGTGTTAATTCTCCAAAAGTATCAAAAAACTCTTCCATTTCCCTCTGAAGTGCTTCATTCCTTCTCTCCGCATCTTTGTGTGCCCTCTCTGTGTTGCGCATTTTAATTTCCACCAAGCAATGCCACTTCCGTTGCTGACCCAGTTTCAAATGCAGATCTTTAATCTCTAACTGCAGTTCTTTGTTCCGTTGCTCCAGGCTGTTGGCATAAACACAGACACTGTAGTTTAGCATTTTGCAGCCCACCTTTCTCCTGGCTGTCTTTTGACATAGTGATTTTTAAAGCATAGCAATTTTCAAGCGCTTCACCCTTGGCCCTATAAATAAGACACAATTCAAAGAAGGATACTGTTGCTCTTCTCACATGCCCTGATACAAAATTATTAAAACCATCACATCTATGACCAGATCAATCTCTCTATCTAGTATGCCTGTTGCTGTTTGGAATTTCAATCTTCACGCATTCATCACTTACAGAACCACACTGACTACAGGGGGCCAGTGGAGGGCAGGGGGAAGGGATATTATCCCCAGGAGCTCAAGTCTCATTGCAAGATGCAGTAAGATTGTGGTAGATAAAGAGGGAGGGTGAAAAGTACACACTCTTATCTTTTTGCTATTGAAAACCACCACCACCCAACAAACGTGCATTCAGACAGCCACCCACAGACAGCCACCCAATACATGCCAGTCATACAGTCATATTTTTCTGTTGGCCTTTCTGGAAGAAAATACTGTTCTGGCAAAGCACAGTTATGTTCATTACCCCTTTAAAGGTCACAGCTAAAACTACAGCACCAGTTCAAAGTTTGAGGCATGTGATTATTTTTTATTTTTAGTACATTCTGTATGTAAATTATTCCAACTTATTCTGGCAAAAACCAATAGGTGTTGCCAGTATCTAGAAACCAACACAGCTCCTTGCCTTTTCATTGTAGGAACCCCTGAGAAACCCAAAGGAAATGCATTAGAAATTTCAGGGACGGAGCTCTTACCTTGAAATCTTAGTCTCGTACTCTGCCTTCTGCCTGGCCATCTGCTGCTTTAGACTGACAAAGTGGTCCTGCCAGGAACTCTGACTTGTTGAGCTGCCATTGCTCGAGTGGGGATATTCGCTACAGTTGCTCATTTGGACTTGGTCCAAGCTGTCTCGAAGCCCCGAAATATTTGATGTGCCCTCGTTAGTTTCTGCAAAATCTTCTGTGCACTTGGGTCTGCTAAAAAGCCTTGAAACTAGGTTTTCTTCAAGCATTGTGTCATCTGGGCAGTTCTTCCAAGAGACCTCGGCAATATTGTTTATATCCTTTAGGCTCATCGGAAAAGAGCATACGGCTCAGTTCTAGGTAAGAAGCAGTTTTGATTTTGTCCCTGTTCTTCTTTCACCCTGGACTGTGAGACTTCTCATCCTAGCTGCAGCTGTCTGAAGCTTCTCAAATGCTTGGAAATAATCCACTTTATTGGAGCCTGGGTCTTGTTTCAGCTCCAGAGCCTGTTCTTGATTTGGAATGGGAAACGCCTCAAGTTGCCGTGCTTCACAGTCCTCTTGCAGTGAGGGCTTGTTTCTGTCTGGCAGAGACAGTGCCCTTTTATCGCCCTCCTTTCTCTTGCCCTATGCAGTTTGATTGACGTGGGTGCATGGAACATTGACTGGCCCACACACTGCTACTTGCTCTCTTCTGTTAAAATTTCTCCAGAACTGGCAGCAGAGAGGAAACAAAACTTGGATTGCCTTCATGCAAGTACAAGGTCCTCTATGTCTTTTGTGAAGACAATAGAAGAAGTGTTTTAAATCTGATTTTGGATTTACTGGTGTCACAAGGGAGCTGAAGAAACGAAAAACAGCTTCTGCTTGGCTGGGTGGTGGTGCACCTCACTGTACTTCTACAGTGGTAAATTCTGTGTCTCACTAAATTGGTTAAGTTTTTGTCAAGACCAAACAATACATTTATACAAAGCAATCATAACATCTTAAGTTAAAAACCAGAAAACAGTTTACATGTACAGATAAAATACTTCAATGTGCACTTGCTGGTGCACAAGAACAAACCTTTCTGTAACAGTCCTGTACCTGCCTCCTAGGAAACATCATAGATTTTGCTGACCTTCTCAAAGGAGGGGATCCGTGTATTTCCTTGCCAATGAAGAATGAACAAGTTTGTGAATGCTTCTGGTGACCAGAAAAAGTGCCAAACCTCCCTTTAATATTGAAAGAGGCCTTTATACGTAACCTTCAAGTGATGGGTAAAGCATACTGGCTTCCCTCCACCAAACGGGTATGAATATTTGTTCATATATTGCTTATCCTGGTAGGTAGACCCTGTCCGGTTTGCAAACTAGAGGCTTAGAGCAGCCTTCATGTGCCAAGATGAAATTATACTATACTATACACTTCAGTTTGCTTTGGTATTATACTCTAGCTGTTGCTGGTGGCAAACCTCTGCTAAAATAAAAGGGAAATCATACATCTGAAAAAGATGTTCCGTCTTTTGAAGCCAACAATACTCATTTAAGATACTTTTCACCTTTGGGCTTTTTCCTAGCTGTGTGATAGAATGCCCTTTTATTATTACCCTCCTCTTTTTTTAATGCAGTTTGAATGCTTGGTGGTTCTAATCTTGGTGACTTTCATCAACTGAATTTTGAAGCCAGTCATTTAAAATGAAAAGATGAAGGTTCCTCCTCCAACCCAATACACATCAAGATATGCTGTAAGCTGTCATTTCCCTCCCCTGCTCCCAACCAGTTACGGATGTGTGTCTTGATAAAACTGCCCTCCCCCCAAAAGGCAGTGTTTGATGAAACTGTACATATAGTGTATCAAGAGCATCTTTCTTTGGCCTTTTCCCAAAATGCAGGAGCACCACCTACAAAAAGAACCATGACGATGGCAATCATATGTACAATCCCTGCATTTTTTGGTGGTGTTTTATCAATGCAGTTGTATGAATTGGGATATAAGCAGTGGGTGGGTGGAGAGGTAAATGACCCAAGAGAGACTGAAAGTGCATGCCTCCAGGACTGGAAGTCATTTTAGTTAAAACCAGAATCTGTTAAGAGTGGAAAGTAGGGAAGCACAAGCCCATGGAAAGGGGGATGACACAGAGGGGAGGGGAGCAAACATCTTCATGCCTACTTTTATACTCTTGCTTCGTAAGCAGTCTTGGGAGGTGTGCGAAGGCAGAGTGAAATTAGATCCTGTCCTTCTAACAAATCAGTTCCCAAATGCTATGTAGGCACCACTGCAAAGATCACCAGCAAGAGCTTGCACGTAGGAGAGATTCTTTTCTCACTTTGGTGCGCCGCTTCCTGCCAGACATTATTTTCCAGAAGCCTTGGCAAAAACAGCCTTTTTCTAACATGGAGTCTGCTGCTGGGTCCAGAATAGCTTGCTGCTTGGAATGATATAAATATCACTTCAGTTTCCTGATGTGCCAAACAAATTTAAGCTGGATTGAAAGTTAAAAGGGTGGGTTGGGGTGACTGTTTTGGGGTGGGGTTTTTTTGCCCACTTTGAAAGAGAGATGATGTACTTTGAAAGATGGAGTTCTTGTGACTTTCCCCAAGGTAGCTTTGCTGAGAAATGGTAGCTTATGCATTAAGGAGCATGACAGGGTGAAGGAGGAGGTGTAATAACCTCCTAAGTAAGGCACTGGCAAATGGTCTCTATATTTGGGTAGGATTCAGTCACATATTGGCAAATTCAGGCCAAGTTGATTTAGAGCTCTTGTGCAACAAACCTGCTTTCCAAAAAGGTCAGACATTTCGAGATAAGGAAATGATAAGACAACATTTTCTAACCTCCCCACAAACTAATCAGGATGAATGCTCACAAAATAGCAGACATTGTCTAACCTCCTTGCAAATAAATCAGGACGGATGCTCAACAAACAGGTTGTTTGGAAGTAGGTACCCTGAGTTACTAAAGAGAAAATGTGCCTAGGTTTGTGCTGGGTATGCAGTGTTCCAGACACCTCCCTTGATACAAATGGATCATCAGCAAAATGGATCATCACTCAAAGGCTGGACCACGTGGCTTAATAGAGGATAAGCCTGCACCCCTCGGCTCCCATCGCTTGCTTGGAGGATATCTCCAATTCTCTGACAATGTGTGTGCAGTAACCTGCTGCTGCATCAGATCAGGACCCTTTTCACAACATGTAGTTAAATCTGAGCCAATAGATTCAAAAGGCAACTTTAAAATAAATTGCAAAACTTAGATGAATTTGAAGAAGAAGTGCCACAACCACCTGCAATTCAGCTTTTTTTCATGCAGAACATGAAATCTGCCCGATACAAACTGAGCTGCCGGTAAAAGCTTTGTCACACATGGCTATAGGTCATCAGAAAGGCAGAAAAGCGGAGAAGGCAGGAAACACAAACTAACAAAAATGAAAGTTACATTTCATGGGAAAGTGAACTAGCAAGCCACTTGTGTAAAACCACCTTGTGTAAAATCCTTAAAATCCAAATGTCTCTATTGCATTATTAAGATGTGATCACTAGATGTCACTATTGCATTTTATTTTCTCTCAATACAGGTGGAGAAATGAGAAGCTTTCACTGTTCAGTACTTAGCAGCCCTAATAAGAATGGTGTGAAGCCGTTTGCTCCATTGCTTCCTAAATGAGGACATTTAGGAATGATTGTGTTGATTACCCACATGATCCTCTCATCCCAACTAGCAGGGACCAGGGCCTCAACAAGATCCCTCATAGGAAACACTTCCCGCCTCCAGCCCATAAGAAATCCATCTGGACCAGAGTCAAGCCAGTGTAGACCTCCAAGGCTTTTGAGCAGCCCCGAAAGGAAACATGACCAGATAGCAATTGGAGTTATATCTGGCTCCCCCAGCTTCTGAATATGTTCCCTCATAACTGTGCAGAAAACCAGATCTAAAATCTGTCCTGCGACATGTGGTGGGCCCTGATATTCTTTGAAATGGACCCATGGTTAACTTGGTGACCATGACAACTCCTCAGGTACTTTAGACAAGGTAGTCCCAGCATAGTTGCTGAAGGCCCCCCCCAATGCCAATCTCAATGCCACACTCAAGACCACCTCCGTCAGCTTGAGTAAGAGGACTGTTTGGGAGGTTGATGCACTAGCAAAATCCCTATCTGCCTCTGGAGCCCAAGACCAGTACTGGATACCCGACCAAGAAGATGCTATCCGTAGGCCTACCCCCACCTTCCCACCTCTCCAGCTGAGCCTGGTGCTGCACATAAAAACATGATGAGCACATCCATAAGAAATTTACCCCTGCATCCTTGCCCAGTAAGGTTTTTGAAATACATGCTAGGTGAGCATGTTGTTCTAGCAGCAATTCTGATCTTAAGCACACTTTGCCACCTGCTAACTTCAAATTAAGGAGCAGGAGAGAAGCCCCTTAAGGTATTCACCTTCTGCCAACAGCTCTCCTTTCTACAGATGGAAGCCAATGGAGAGTAGGGATGGGGGAGAGATTTGATTCAGTCCATATTTAATGTGTACAAAAAGTGCATATACTGGGGTAAAACGTACATTAAAACTGTATGCACTGGTGAAAAGAGCATATAAACATGCATTATCTTAGGTGTTGGTTCTCAAAGGGCGTGGTGTGCCACACGGGTGTGGCAGGAGACAATGGCAAGTGGCAGGAAGATTAAATGTTTCTTTGATTGTGCTTTAAACATTTCAGTACAGTATAGTATCAGCGTAATTTTTCATATTTGCAGAATATCAATAGATATATTTTCAAAATTAGAGCAAGAACATCAAGCGATACTGAGGACATGCCTCTCTTCTAGAACATTGGTTATTCTTCTACACGACGTATTGTTGTGAACAGGGATTTTCAAACTCTGACCAATATGAAAGATCAGAAATGTTGATGAGGAGATGAGAGTTTGCTTGTCTTAAATTAGCCCTGACATAAATTACCCAGCATAAGCAAGCTCGCACCCTGAAGATTGTACAACTGGCTTCACATATGAAAAAGAACTCCATGCCTAAGGAAGAGCGAGGCAACAAGCCACATGGCAACATGAAACAGCAGTTGTCTCACGGCCTCAGCAATTAACTTCCAGTCATTCTGCCTGCTTTCAAATCCAGCTTTCTCTAAACCTATTCGTTCTCTTCCATTGCAGCTTCTGAGAAAATCTACCATAATGACATCAGGATGCTATTTCTCAGGCTTATTTCCACTCCCAGCAAAGGCTGATTGCAAAATTCAAAAAGGAGGGGGGGGGGAAACAGCCCTAGATTTCACATCCATATTTCGTACTTCTGAGTTGTTGGTTTTTCTGAACAAATGGTCAACATCCCCAGGCTCTACAGACCCACCCCTCCCCCAGGTCTGTTTGCCAGTTTTTTGCTTTTTTCCAGTAAGGTGCATATGTTAGCATCTCTCTTTCTTCACACTAAGTAGGCTACGCATTAACATTACGGCTCATGCTTATTCTTCCTGTGCAACAGTATTGGCAATTGCCGTGGTGCCAGACTCCTCGCAGCTGTTGTGAGAGACAGTGACTTTATGTCCAGACAATGGCTCATTGTAACAATCCAATTTCATTTCTGAATGTGA